TTAATCTTTGTTGCCGTTTTTACCAACATAGGAATCTGATATTTCCTACTGCATACTGAGTCCAAATACATTGCATATACCCAGGGCCGTGGAAGAAGGGCCATAACAATAATACATAAGGAAGGAATATGGGCTTCTGCAGGACTAGGTTTATAATGGCTTTAAAAAACTGAATAAGGCCTTTGAATGGAGGAGGAGGAATTTCATTGGAAAATACCCTGTTTTGCCACCCATCTTTTAACCAGTTAGCACTAAAAGTCTTGTACGGAATGAAGTATCAAAATAAAATTAACCATTGAAGTGCGTAGCAGTGGGATTATGAATAGCAAAAACCTTTTCCCATGCATCACGGTAATTCCCAAATAATTATACACAGTACTGTTGGTACATGTTTATATAAAACTTTAAATTGTACAGTTTATAAAGAGAGGGTTTAGGGCCAATCCTGGGATGAAGAATCCTGTGGATTTTAAGTGAAGAATACAAAATAATCCGTATTTAATTTTGGAATCATTAATTATGGTTTAATTTTTACGGCGAGCCTGTATCCAAAAAGAATATTGTGATAATATTCTTGAGGTTTTGAAAAGCGTCAGTTGGAGAAAAAATTACAATCCTCAGGATTTAAGTATTGTTTTAAACAGACCAAGAATTAATATTGTTAATATCCATCCTCAATCTCAATTTCATAATCCAAAATTATTTTTAAACAAACCATTTTATGATACTTGGATAAACTCGGATTTTTGGCAAAAAACCCAACAGCAATCAACGGCGTTTGCAATAATTTTACTGTCTACCGTTTGAGACAGACTAGCCGATCCCATGAACGGGTACGATCGCTTTAGGTGTAGAAGCACATTTACCAGGCGTCTCTGTGGAAGATGACGCTATACTTTGTAAACGCCTTAAACACTTCAGGGGATTACTTAACTGTTCAATCCATTTTTTAAGATCTGGAGAAATTTTTTAGTTGTTCTAGGGTTTTAGTAAAAATCTTCGGAGTGTCAAGAAAGAGCTTAGTAGGGTGATTTCAGGTTCTTCTTTAGGCGGCTTTGCCCTTATCCTTTTTCCTGCCCATCGTCTGAAGAATTCTCGAGTCAGAAAGTCTTGGAATTGTTGTTTTTATCTCTGAATAAATTCAAATATCAAAAAAATTCAAATATACTAAGTAAAGCTTGCCATCTTACAAAAATTTTGTTCTAGGGAAAGCCAGATTTTTTACATCTTTTGGTAAAACATCTTTTCGCAGCTTCAAAGATCTTTAATATATTATACAATGAATTCCTTTTATTGTTGTCGATTCTGTAAGTAATGTTTAAGTCGGATGATTCTGATTCCTCTGAAATAAAAAAAAAAAAGGGGGGGGGGAAAAATTTTCAAATAAATTTTTTAGGGGGGAAATTGGGAATTAATATTGCAAATTTAATAAAAGCTTATAGATGATTGGGAATTCATTCAGCAACTAATCAACATGTAGCTCCTGACACTACTGAAGCCTCTAGAAATATAAACACTATAGAAGAAAACACCAACTCTGATGACAGCGAACTTGACTCAGAAAACGCTAAACAATTTGAGTTAAATCCTATAAATCATCATCGAGAAATAGTAAATAGGGCACCAGACTTAGGCATTATTGATAAACCTAACATTATATCTCAATTTAAAAATAATGCTTCAACAATCTATGATGGAACATAGATGGTTTAAGTGAATATAATATATTAAGTATTTTGTAACAAATGACCATGGCTGCAAATGCTTATAAAACGCAGTCAATTATTTCTGATATATCAATTCCAAACTCAGACTAGAATTAGATTTTTAGACTGGTTCTCATTAATTAAAAATAATTCAACTAAAAGTCTTAATCCAATAACAATTCGTGATAAAAGACCAGAATGGATAGTAAATGATAGGATAATTCACAGTGATTTTCCTCCTAAAGCCATTAGTAAATTTACATACCAAGATAATGATATTACTTGTGCACCATATAAAGTAGCTAGAGAAAATGATGATTCAGATAAAAATTAATTTGAAACCAAAATAATTTTAGTAATGCTAGTTTAATTTGTCTGATATTACCACAATTAAAAAAAGACATAGAACAGTAAAAGATAGAACAATTACTTCAGGATAAACCTATAGTAATTGAACAATCTAAAGGAAAAGAATTAGTAAAGTCACATATGTTTAAACCATTTCAGGTATCTAAGTCTAGTCAAAAGGAATTAAATTCACAATTCATAGGAGCTTTAAAACACCAACTTCGTCAACTTGAAGCAAGTTCGGGACCTACTCCCCAAGTAGTTCAGGATTCTTCTGATGCTTCCAGAAATATAAATCTTTTAGAAGAAACTTCTAGCTCTGAAGATAGTAAACCTGACTCAGATAGTGCTCAACAATTTGTAAATAATATAACCCATATATTAAAGAATCTTGAGCTACCCGGATTATGCCCTCCGGTTATACCCTTCACTGCCCAACAAATCTCAACAAATGGGTCTTACAACGGGCAAGTTGTCACGATCCTGAGGTGCGGGTAACCAATCCCCTCTCGCTTAGACCTTCGGACACCTAAGCAGCCGGATTTGCGGATTTGTTGGTATCAAAAATATTTAAATATTAATTAATATTAAATATATCAACTGAAATAGATCTATTAATTAAATCAATTAATATTTCAAAATATTTCAAGAAATGATTTATATTATCCAAATTAATATTAAATATAAAAAAAAAAGATAAAAAGAAATGCTTCAAGAAGAGGATGCCAAGTCAGCTTGGCAAGAAAATGCTTAAAAATTATTAAAAACTTAAAAAATTTGTAAAAAAAAAAAAGATAAAAAGAAATGCTTCAAGAAGAGGATGCCAAGTCAGCTTGGCAAGAAAATGCTTAAAAATTATTAAAAACTTAAAAAATTTGTAAAAAAAAAAAAGATAAAAAGAAATGCTTCAAGAAGAGGATGCCAAGTCAGCTTGAAGAGAATTCGTATATGTTTTAATCTGAACAGTAAATGAACAGTTTATGTTTATGAACAATCAAGAACAATATTTCTGATGTGGAAGATCACACGAAGGTGCAACCACCAGAGCATTTAACTTATTAAAAAATTTTACAACTAATATTTATCAATAACTCAACCAAATTTTAAATTATTTGATTTTAATTAAGGTTGAGGGTTCCTGCAACCTAGCCTGGGATCCCCAGACACTAAGTCAGAATGTGGAGCGGAGAAGAGAAAGAAGCCGTTTAACAGGCTTTAGTTAGTAGCAATTATAAATTTAAATAAAATAAATTTATTTAATATTGAAATTTCAAATTTTTAAACTTTACAAGTTTAAAGTTTACAATCCATTTGGTCTTTTATCTCAATTGTTAATTGTGGTAAGACTTTATTATGTAAATAATTGAAAACCAATCTAAAAATGTAATTTTAGTCTGCAGTTTGAAGTTGATATTTCAAAATATTCTAACTTTTAAGTATCAAATTATAAGTTTTTACTATGTTATTAAACTTCATTAAAATTTTTTTTTTGTAATTTTCTTTTCAAGTCCTTACTAATATCCTCTTTTAGTTAAACATTTAATTCTCTATTTATTTCACTAACATTTTCAGGTGATGGCTGAAGCTGTTGGTGACTTGGTTGAATATAACCTAAATTAGATTGTTGATTTAAATAATGTCAACAGGGTTTATAAAATGCTCTGTTGGGAACTATATTACTATAATCAACTCCTTTCATTTTAAATGATTGGCTAGATTGACAGGTATATCTGATGTAGAATACCTAGAGTTTTACTAGCGGTTTTGAAGAATTGGCTTTAGGTTCATTTGTTCCTTATACCTGGCCATAAAATGACTGAAGGTATTTTTTTGGTTTTATCATCATCTGTTTACAATAGAGATGTAGATCCTGTATACCTAGAGCTTTGACTCCTATTAAATTTTAAAGTTACTTTACCATCTTCAAATTGTTCAATTTTCTGTAAATTGACATTTTGGTTTTAATAGGTTCTTGGTTAGGGGAGGACATCCCTTCAAAATCCATTCCTCTTGGTAAGGTGATATCCTTTCTCATTTGGATGGTTTTAGGTAATAACAGTATGCGTTTTAGTCAAATCGTTTGAAGAAATTTAGTTTCTCCAATTTGGTTTGTATAATTATATTAGTACTAAAAGCTGAATTCATAGCTTTATAATGGATTTTATAGATTAAAGCAATTGAATAGATCCTTGGCTTCATTTTATAATTATTGAGTTTTAACTTTCTTAAAATTATACGTTTTAATTTCTAAAACTATACTATCTAAAATATTTAGATCATTTAAAGAAATAGTCATATATGGATAAACCTCAAAAGAGATAGGTCCTTCACTTAAGCTTGTTTCAACAGATCCTAATAATGAATCCTGAAAATTTAAAAATCTAGCATCTCTGACCACCGCCAAAATACTAGTGTTTAATCCTTCTCTAGTTAAAGGTTTAATACCAACTTGAATTAAACCTATATGAATATATTTATATTTTTTATGTTTATGTTGCTGTAAAGTTTTAGATGAAAGTAAGGTTATTCGTTCAAAAGGTTTACTAAGCTGAAAATCTCGTTCTTCAGTTTTAATAACATAGTCTGTATTCCATAAAGGAAATTTACTAATTTTATAAATCTGTTCCTTATCCACTTTAGGTATTTCCCATTCATCTATGGCTTTACTAAAATCTTGCAATATTAATTCATTTCTATTTATTACCCTTTTAATTTCTGAGTTATCAAAATCATCCGACTTAACATTACTTACAGATCGACACCAATAAAGCGATTCATTTGTATAATATATATTATATATTATATTGAACCCGGAATCAATAGGAAAGTCGAGTCATTTTATTTCAGAGGAATCAGAATCATCCGACTTAACATTACTTACAGATCGACACAATAAAGGATTCATTGTATAATATATATATATATATATTGTAACCCGGAATCAATAGGAAATCGAGTCATTTTATCATTGACTCTGAAAAAACAAGAGCCATTTTGATTTTCGAGGTTATTAGCAGTTACACTCCAAAATAAATTAGCGATTGCAAGTTTGCAATTCAGAAAAATAAAAAGACCGATTGAACTTGAAGAGAGAGCAGAGATGCGTCACCGTCGATCCGTCACTGCTACTTGCAGGTTTCTCATCTTAGTCTGCGCTCTTGTACTGGTGAGTAAGATTTATTATTTCAGCAGTTTTAATTGTTTTCGGAGGCTTTGATTTGTGGATTCTGAAGACTACGACTGTTTTCAGTGATGAGTAAAATTAGGGTTTCTTAGATTATGTGCCCACTGATTAATCTTCATTTCATAGAAACATTGTAATGGTGAACAAATGAGAAACGAAATTTGTATTTTGGGTCTGTTTTAGCCTCTGATATTCAAAGAATATACGCCTTGAAAATTTGAGTTAGATGATCAATTGTATAGTTTGGGGTAAAGCTGAATCTCCATGCATGGAGATTGTTTATGCACTGTTACTTCATTGTCTTCCATTTTCCTCTCTTTAACGAGGATATCTGGAAATGATATGTTTTCAGGTGAAATGAGTATTATATTTTTGCATAAAATTTTAGCTTTTATGATTAATTATTGAAACCTGTTACAATACGAACCTTGGGAGAACCACACCCCAAAATCTAGCTCATGAGGTGGGAGAGCTGAAAGTCTATATAAACCCCACGTTGAAATCTCATGCTTCCAATGTGGTATCCAAGTAAATCTTGTCTTGCAACTAGGATTGTAACATGTTATTAATAATATCCTTTGTAATGTGTACCAGTATGGGGTTACCAGTTCTCCTGTTGGAACTCGGAAGACAGGCAGATCATCAGTATTTTCTTTATTTAATCTCAAAGAGAAGAGTAGGTTTTGGAGTGAGTCTGTTATACGCGGCGGTATGTTAAAATCTTGTTTATTACTGTTTTTACATGCTCCTTTCTCTGAAAGTACTTGAGTAATGGGATGCCTTTGTTTTGTTGCAACAGATTTTGATGATCTGGAATCTTCAAGCCCTGGAAAAATGGGAGCTTTCAATTACACTAGGGCGGGTAATTCCATGTGTCTCACTCTTGTTGGTTTTGAAAAAATAAACTGGCAAATTTAATCTATTTATCTAATTTCTACCAATAACATACACAGAAAAATAATCTATGAAACTTCTTCTAGCAGAACTTTGTAACTTATAAATTTTAAATTATGATTCCTATGATTGGAACCTTTTGTTCTGGCCTTGAACACCTTTGTAGAATTGACTATAAATAGAACTTCATGCCCTTGGGTTTGGATGGTAAAGTGCTTTGGAGTTTTTATCTGACGCATTAGTTCAGGTGTTCTAGTGCGCTTGGGCTTCTTCTCTCAGCCCACATGAACTGGAGGATCTATAAACACATTTAGCAGCAGTTTTCCTTTACTCAGATGGTGTGATACATGCCAGATGTTTGAAAATAGAACCATTTTTCACCTTTTTTTTTTTCTTTTTCATGGTCTACCGAGGAACTAAAAGCTCACATTCACTTTTTCTCTTTTCCAGATTATATTTCCAGTTATATGAGATAAGAATTTCCAATATTTTCATCTTTATGCATGGATTGCTTGCAATCCTTATACAAAGTTCTAATCCTGACAGATCTTTGGTTTTGTTGCATGTTATTGTACTATGCTGTTTAAGAAAATAATATGATTTAAGAAAATAAGATACAAATGAACATCACTGGTTGGCAACTAACACTTGATAACAATGAAAACGAGTTCTATTGATACCTCTAGGTTTGTTATTTGTTAGATAAGGTTAACCAAACTATTGTTTCTTTTTGTGAGTTGAAATATGATAACTTGGCATTCAAGATCTCCAATATATATTTTTTTTCTTAATCTGTATTTCAGGTAATATTGCAAATTATCTAGGGCTTCAGGAAGTGGATTCTATGTACCTCCCAGTTCCTGTGAATTTCGTTTTCATAGGATTTGAAGGAAAAGGGAACCAAGGTATATTACTTTATCTGCCATCACTATTTTTTCAATGGTTTATTTTTTTTGTCAAATTCTTCTCCTTTTAGTAGTTATTTTGATACTTGGCTGGTTTTGTAATGGTTATTTTTAGAATTCAAGCTTCATCCAGAAGAACTTGAGCGCTGGTTCTTGAAAATTGATCACATCTTTGAACATACAAGAATTCCACAAATTGGAGAAGTGCTCACCCCATTTTACAAAATTAGTGTAGATAAAGAGCAACGTCACCATCTTCCCATTGTCAGTCACATAAATTACAAGTAATGTTACTCTGTACCATGTATTTCTTTTCCTTTTTATTTTTTTTCCCTTCATTTTTGGACTAGTTTCATTTAAAGATGTTGTTCAATCTACTCTGAATAATGAGGACTTTCTGCTTATGGCATGATAATAACATTGGTTCTGCAGTTTTTCAGTTCATGCCATTCAAATGGGTGAAAAGGTTACTTCTATCTTTGAGCATGCCATCAACGTTTTTGCTCACAAGGATGATGTATCTACTAAGAGGTGAAATTCATACAATCCCTTTCTCTTTCTCTTGCTCTCTCTTCCCCTCCTCCTCCTATGAGGCAACCCTCATTTTCTGGCTATGCAAAGTCTTTCTTATTTTTTTTGCACTTATGCACATGCATTATTTAATCCTACATGATCAACAAGGTTGTTAGTAAAGTTGCAGTCATCTACAAACCTTCTTGGTTTTTACAGGACAAGCATAACTAATAATGGATAGTTAGAGGTTATTGTTTTCTTTTTGCTGCAGTGAACAAAGATATTGTAATGTGAAGACCAAAGGAAGTATTTTAAAATAAAGATAATATTGATTATTAATAGTTTTGATGAGCCAATCACCATGCTTGATAAATTCTTTTCCTTGGGAAACATGTAATTAACATCTTGTTGATGCACCCCTATGAATTCTGGTTTTGATTTTGTCTTTTTATGTCATCCAATATCCTAGTGAAAATGAAAACAAAATCATGGCCAAACTCATATGATTGATATCAATTAATTTTTGTAGTATTTAGCAAAGATACTATGTTGTTTTTCTGGAGATTCTTCCACACAATGTTTTATATTTGTTTATTTATTTATTTTTGATATTTGAACATTTTTTTTTGTTTATCTCCTTACTGAGTCCAGTAATGTTTTGGTTTGTCGTGACAGGGATGATGGAGATGTCCTTTGGCAAGTGGATATGGACATGATGGACGTTCTTTTTACTAGCCTTGTAGAATATCTTCAACTTGAAAATGCATATAACATTTTCATTTTGAATCCCAAGAATACCTTAAAGAGAAAATATGGATATAGGTGTGTATTTTTTTTTATCATAAGTTTGTTTTTCTTTATCAATGCACGAGTTAGATATTGAACAATATATACCCAATTTGAATGCATTTTCTTCAATTCTAGGAATAATCAAATCAACTAAACCTCTGTCCCAAATTGTTTGGGGTCTCTACTATTCCACTTGGTTTAGGATTAGATCTTTTGAAATATCTAGGACCAGTATATCCTTTTTCATTACCTGTCCTCACTAACTTGTCTTTTGCAACTTTAATATAGTCAAATTTTGTTATTGGTGCATGTGATGCACATGTTGAAACCATATCAATCTTCCTTCTGTTTAACTTTTTCTTAGCGGGTGTCATTTTGACCTTTTACAACTGCATTAATTCCATATCCAGTCCATTCTTGTATTTCTATTTGTCCATCTTAGTATAGCATTGGAGGAGCACAAGAAGCTGGGTAGAACGTTCATGGTCCTTGTAAGTACTGACACTCACGGGTTTGATACCATACCCAACACAAAACCTGGAGGCATTAATTCTATATGTTCTTGTATTTAAACGATCGTTTGTTAGCTAGTTATTCCGATGAGAGACTTCCAACGTGCACTTTTACCTCAAGTCAAGAGTTGGCATTTTCCTTTCTGTCATGACAATACTGTATTTCAATATTTCATTTTTGGTTGAATCTGTCTTATAAACTTTCCTTTCAACTCAGCTGGTATTTTACAATTATACAAAATTTTACTTTTCCATTCTGCCATCCTACCATAATCCCATATTTAACATCCTGATTTTCAGCAGCCCTTTGTGTGAGGGTTTGCTTGATTTGGTGGATTGGATTGGACTTGGAAAATGTTAATTTTTTCAAAAAAAGTTCTAAACATTGTGATCTTAAGTGCTTAATCAATTATCTTGTGAACAGACGATGCCGTTTTCTTTTTTGAGTAGTGTAGGAGTGGGATTCTACTTGGGAGGTTCTTAACTTGGGCTACTCCTCGATAGCCTCAAGTTTATCTCTAGGCTAAGGTGACAGTTAATAATGTCCTTTTCTTGTGTTTATTTGTCTAGTACTTTTTCACTCAATTTTTTCATTGAAAGCTGAAAACGTTATAGTATGAAATTATGATGTGATCATAATCCACAGTATAGCACCAGGCTTAGAAATGGTTGAGCAAAAAAGAAGGGGGTGGGTGGGAGATCAAACTGATGGCACTGTCCTAAACTTTCAATATGGATGCTCTTGCTCTAGGCATGCAGTTTGATATGTCTTGTTGGTTAGAAGAATCATTTGACACATAGTTTACATTTCTGATCATGCCCTCTCCTTATTGTTATTTAGTTATTAATTTAGCTTATTCAGCTATGTTATTTTGGAATGACAGGAGAGGATTATCAGAGTCTGAAATAAATTTTCTGAAGGAGGTATTATTTTCTCTTTGTTCCTTGCTTCTATGATGTACTTGTTGCTATTTTTCAAGAATTATACGATCTATAAGGTTCAATTATGACTTTTTCCAAGTTCGATTTTAGAAAGTAACTTATTATCATTGGTAAATTTGCTAGTTTAGTTAATTACCGTTGTCGTATTTATAGAACCAGCTTCAAAACTGACTTATTTATTTATTTATTTTCTTATGGGATATCTCAGGATAGGAGTTTGCAAACAAAAATTCTTCAGTCAGGAAGCATTCCTGAAACTGTTCTTGGTATGAAATGCCTCTAATACATGTCATTCTTTTTCTTTTTTGAAATATTATGAATCCTATTCATTTATATTGTGCTTATGAAAATAAACGTTCTGAAAACAATTTGCAGAACTTGAGAAGACTAAGAGACCTTTGTATGAAAAGCATCCAATGACCAAATTTGCATGGACAATAACTGAGGACACTGATACAGTTAGTGTTCTTTCAACTTAAATTTGTAACTTGTGTATCACATATAATATTTCTGCTTAACATGCTCCAACTGTTATATTTTAGTTTTCTTTATCTAGTAGAAGATAAGAATGTTTAATAGCTGAAAGAAAGAGACACTTTCTGAGTGATAGGAAAGTGGCATGTTGATATTTGAAGGTTTATGATTTGAGCCTTCTAAGTTGTTTGCTATTGTTTCTAAATAGGACCACATGGTGGATCCAATGCTCTGTTTGTGGAAGAAATAGTAATTAAGTATAGTGGAAGCATTCTTCCTGGGTTTCAGTGGAGAATGCTATGCTGAAAAAGGCCTCTTGCCTTTTTTAGGAAAACTGATAGGAACCTACTGCCTAGCTCAGTAAATGTACCAGGCAAATCTTCTTTTGCAATTTAATTTACCATCTATCACCTTCTTTTACTCTGTTTTTATCAGTCCTTAATGCTAGGGATGTTGCCTGCTACATATTTTTGCAGAGTTCTTGAGATGAATGTTTTATTCAAATTTCATTCAACTTGGTAATGTTCAGTAGCTAGGTGATTTGTTTTCCTACTCTCCACTGAAAGGAATATATATCTCGGTGGTTCCTTCCTATTTCAAACATGCACATTATATTTATATATTCTTTTTTCTACAGATATTGGTTGATTGACTTGATTCTATTATGAAATGAAAGATGAAAGAGTTTTAGCATTACAAGGATACACATAATTATTAAGGAATATTTTTGAATAACCTCAGGTGGAATGGTACAATATTTTTTTGAACGCACTCAATAATGTTGAGAAGTTATATCAGGGGAAGGACACTTCTGATATCATTCAGAATAGAGTTCTACAGGTATATTCTCTTTTTCAGCATTACTTTGACATAAAAGCAAATTGAATGAAGAATAAAAATACCAAGGTTAATTCTATCTTTTAATGTGTTCTTTCTTTCTCCATATTTGTTTAGTTATTAAAAGGGAAGAATGAGGATATGAAACTTACTCTTGAAAAGGAGTTAAAATCTGGAGACTTTAGTGATTTTCATGAAGAATGTCTTACAGATACATGGATTGGAAGGGACAGGTGTAAATCTCTCTCTCTCTCTCTCTCTCTCTCTCTCACACACACACACTCACATTCTCACTCACATTCATTTGCACATATCTTGTGGAGGTGCAAATACTAACTTATTCTTTATCAGGTGGGCTTTTGTTGATTTAACTGCAGGTCCTTTCTCCTGGGGTCCTGCTGTTGGTGGAGAAGGTGTGCGTACGGAGCTTAGTTTGCCTAATGTCACAAAAACCATTGGTGCAGTTGCAGGTGGTACTGACAGTTCTACTTTCATCAAATGCTTCTACATTCTCCTGCATTCTTGTTTGCAATTGTTTCATTGGCCACAGTGGCATTGCTGCACTGTCATGTGAGGTGCATTTGAGGTTAGGATCTATTCATATGCTTTTCCTATACTTTTCCTCTAATAGAGGGAGACAACAAAAAATTACAAAGTGGAGGCTATTCAAAACAAACAACTTGGAACGCCAAAATTGGACTAAAATGTAATGCCCTCAAAATAAAACAAATACTACTCATGCACTCCTCTGAAGGCACCTGAAGCACAAGTACTTAGAGAAGCTAACAAAACTGCTTTGCTTCACAGCAGAAGAAAAGATACTGCGCTTTCTGAAAATCTGATCATTCCTTTCCATCAATGCTGCAAAAAAGAGAGAAAAGAGAGACAATTTAAAATAATTTTAGCATCCTTTCTACTGCCAAATCCTCTTCATACAGAAGTAACAACAGTCTCTAAAGAATTTCATAGTACCTGATTTTCAGAAGTCCCCGATGCGCAGAGCCACCTCAGGATGTCATAACGTAAAAACAAGTGAGCTTCTGGAGATGATGAGGAAATTGGTGAACCCATTGATTAATATAGATGTTTCTTGGAGAGTGAGGTACGGCGAAGAGAGATAGAAAGGAAGGAAAAGAAAGAGAGAGAGGGGGGGGGGGGGGGGGGGGATGTTTAAATGCCCCTCAAAATAAACACAAAATACTACTTCAAGCACTTCCTCCTGAAGGCACCTTGGAAGGCACAAGTACTTAATAGAACGAAAGCTAACAAAACTTGCTTTGCTTCACACCGTGCAGCAAAGAAAAGATACCTGGGCGCTTTTTTCAATTGCCAAAATCTGGCATCATTTCGGCTTTCCATCAATTTTGCTTTACAAAATGTGCAAAGAAGAGTTGAGATTAAAGAATAGAGACAAAAATTGTAAAAATTAATTTTAGCATCCTTTCTACGGTGCCAAAATTCCTCTTCATGTACAGAAGTAGGTACAACAGTCTCTAAAGAATTTCATAGCTACCTGATTTTCAGACAGTCCCCGGTAATGATGCGCAGAGCCACCTCAAGAATGAATGTCATTCCCAACGTAAAAACAAGGTTGAGATCTCCTGGTAGATTGAACTCCGTGAAAAAGGTTAATTGCCACTTTGATGTGGAATTTGGCCCTAAATGAGTTTTAATGGTACCTAGCCATGTTTCTAAGTGAATGAAGTGAAATTGGTAGGTTTTACGCGCGAATATGTTGAGAGATAGAAAGAGAAGAAAAGAAAAAGAGAGAGAGGGATGGATTGGGCTATGGGTGGGAAGCAATATCATTCTTGATTTGCTATTTTTCTCTTGATTTCTCCTAGAATTTCTGCTTTCATAATTCATTCAAGGTCCTACTCTTCCAAAAGCAAGGGAATATTATGTGCGGTTTATATTCCACCTCTTGGAGTAAAACCCGAGTTAGACCGATGATCCTAGTCATCTGAAGAGGAGGGACCTATCTTGGTTATTTTATTCTGTTTTTAAGTCAGTAGGAAACTTATTTTACAAAATACAAAAAATTTATATTTTTAGTAGTGGTTGCGGAGAGTTTTATATGTTTAGTAGTGGGGCAGGACTACATTTTGGGGGGGGGGGGGTGTGGGGTGGGAAGCAATATCATTTGATTGCTATTTTCTTTGATTCTCCTAGTTCTGCTTCTATTCATTCAAGGTCCTACTCTTCAAAAGCAAGGGAATATTTATGTGGTTTATATTCCACCTCTTGGAGTAACCCGAGTTAGACCATGATCCTAGTCCATCTGAAGAGAGGGACCTCTTGGTAGTTATTATTCTGTTTTTAGTAGTAGGAAACTTATTTAATACATTTATATTTTAGTAGGGTTGTCTGGGAGTTTTATATTTTAGTAGTGGCAGGACTATTTATCATTTTCCATTTTTATCTGTATATAAGGTTGTAGGCTCAATATTTGGTTCAATTAAATATTTTTGGCGTGAGCACTTAGGGTTTTACTCTAGAGACTCATTATGCTTACAGCCTACCAATCAGAACACGAAGCCTTATTAGGCCTCCTTTTCTGAAATGAGTCATTATATTAACCTTTTGAAGAATTGCAAACCACGCTAAAGCTCTTACCTTGAGCAGCATTTTGAATTTTCAAGTTTTGTTAACTGAATGAAAGGAATGATCATGAAAGTCAAACACTTGTTTCTTTGCACTCATGAAAATCATATGAAAATCATAATTTTTTTTCTTCTTCTTTTTTTTTTCTTTTTTCTTTTTTCTTTTCTTTTTTTTTTTTTTGGTCATGGATTTGTCTCTTGGGGTTCCAGTGCTTTCTTGTCTCAATTTTTTTGTATGCTGTGAAAAATGTTTATATTTCCATATGATAGTATGAGGTCTTATATGGAACTTAGTTTGCCTAATATCTTCCACCTTTCATGTTATTTAGTTTGTGTGTTATCTCCATCCTGTGTCTTGTTCCTATATGATTCTAAAAAGCCAAAAAAATTTATTACTTTTATTTGCCCCGTGGACTCTATCATTGTTTATCTTACTGGGTATATATGTTGGTCTATAAGTACACTTTTTTTGTAAAAGATTTATTTCTATGAGAGTTCTATGGTCTTGTTGAATAATGGATCATTTAGTTTTTTGCCGAATCACCCGCTTATGGTCAATAATATATTTCTCTTTCTTTGTGGGATCAGAGATTTCAGAAGATGAAGCTGAAGATCGCTTACAAGATGCAATTCAGGAAAAGTTTGCAGTATTTGGTGATGTATGTAACTTAGGATGAAATAATAAGTCTTTCATTATTGGAGTTTGTTTCAGTTCATTTTATGTTAAATAGAAGCCTTTCATGATGGGATCATGGTGTTGTTTGGAGTTGGTGCAAAAACTAATTTTACCTACATTAAGGGATTAAATATAGGTTTTCTGCTAAAAAAACTTTGTAGTTTTCACAATATAATCTACAAACTTTTACTTTTGTAAGTCAAGTACCTAAAGCTGCAAAGTTTTGCAATTAAAATATTTTTGTCAGTTGTATTAAACTCGCATGTGGACATAATGCTGTGACTCTGGACCGTATGACACCAGTCCTAGAAAATCTTAAAGGCACTCACTAAAATCCCATTCTTAACTATATTCAATTATTTTTTTTGGCCTATATAGGAAACAAAAACAGTTTTTAATCGATATCATTAGGTACTAAAACCAAGTTATCCTGGCCTTAAAAGCAAACTTAGGTGGGGCTCAATGGAAAGTACGAAATTGTGAAAAGCTGTAAGGTTCGAGGAGCCAATGTTTCTTAGGACTTGTTTCTTTTCACAATTTAGCTGTAAGCTGTAAGGTTTGAGTATCAAAAATAGGATTAAATATGAGTAAATGTTATGAAGTTGGGCTTGAATATCAAGTTCGAGTATTCTGAGTTGCATTTTCCTATTTTCCAAATGGAGCTGTCAAAGTACTGTGCCTATATCAGAAAATTATGCTTTCTTATTCAGGTGAAGTGATAACTTTTCCTTTGGTCTTCTGAACTGTCAATCTGCCATCCATATGACTTGCATTTTTGTAGAGCAATCAGTCATAAGTCTGGTGATCCAACACGGATCTGTAGATCTTTGTTTTAATATTCAAAATTACGCTTCATATTGGGAAGCAAACTGTCCTTTTGGAAACAGTTTGTTGGTTGTAATTCTTTTCTTATATGTTTATTTATTTATTCTTTGGGAAAGATATGATAAAAGAGTGCCAAAGTTGTGTCAACTTAATACAGAAAAAGAGAATCATTTTGTTATCCTGAATATACAATTGTGTTACAAGTCTTGTAATTACAGGTTCTAGGATAGGGTCTGTGGGAAACTGGTGTTTGTGAGTTGTTCTACCTTTTTTACCTTCGTTAACAAGAAGTAAGTAGGAGCTTGTTATCTGAGTTTAGGAATCAACCTTCGAATTAAATGCTGCTTGCCTTCTTTTCATATAGTTGATAATAGCAAGAGGAGAAAAATAATCCCATGATTATTGGAAGCATAACTACCGATATACTACAACCACCCACTAAAACTAAGGGAAACTGCGAACCAAAATTTAAAAGCGACTAATCCCATGTTTATGGACACGTGGGAATACTGGAACTGAGCAATAACAAAAGATAAAATTAAATACCTAGTAAATATTTCTGTACCATATTTAATAAATTGCTTAACCTAAGTTGGATTGTCATCTGAGCTCCTAACACATTTACAGCAAAATTTGGAAAGAAGTTTATCATCCCATAAAGTGTTTCTCCAACAAACCAATAGTTGTAAGCCACATTAAGAATAAAGCAAGATAATATCTGCTTCCTCAAAGGCTATTATATGATCAAAGTCTTGATTATCTGTGCATAAATTTCTAAGCCTTCAAATGCATAATTCATTTCTGATCAACCTTTAGCTAGCCAGGAGTTCCCATGAGAGTAACTAATGAGTTCTAATGGTGCTTGTATTGAAATATTGTATCTACTAGCCATCCTCTGTGCTCAGTGTCAGGGGGGATTCAGTATCGCTTGTCTGCTTCATGAGTCCTCTATGCATGTTGCAAAGTGGCTGTCAAAGAGTTGCTAGGTTGTTGATTGAAATTATATTGCATTTCTTCATAGCTTGGGCAACTTTTTATATGTTGGTGCATCATAGGGATGCATCCATCTGTATACTTTTCAGTTGCTTTTTCACTCTCTGGTTCTGTTTCTGTAAAAACTGATGCATGAACATATAAATTATTGTGTTATTATGATTCCTGTTAGTCGGAGCTATGAGAGTTGAGCTCTCTAAGTTTTTTATTGTTCTTAGTCTAAATTGATTATGCACTTTAATACTACAGAAAGATCATCAAGCCATCGATATTCTTCTGGCAGAGATAGATATTTATGAGCTTTTTGCTTTCAAGCACTGCAAGGGAAGGAAAGTTAAACTAGCTCTTTGTGAAGGTAGTCTTTGTTATTTTCTCTTTTTGATTGTAATGCTCTTAGTTTAGTTCATTTCCTACTTGAAGATTGTCCTATGCTTTTATTTTACATATCATTGATTCTGTTTTTTCTTCTGCATAAAGAAGACAGGACACTTATGGTCAAGAATTTTTTATTTCACAGTAACTAATGTGAACTATGGTTGGTTAATGTACCTCTAATTCCAATATTTACAATCTCAGAGCTTGATGAGAGAATGCAAGATTTGAAAAATGAGCTCCAATCTTTTGAAGGTGATGAATATGATGAAAGTCATAAAAGGAAGGCTATAGAGGCATTAAAGCGCATGGAAAATTGGAATCTTTTCACTGATACTTATGAGGTATGCCACCCATGGTCCTTTTTTCCCTATTGATTATGTTTGCTTCAGAAATCTTTCATGGAGAATGGGGCTATCAGGGTTTGTACCTCTAACCTCTTGCCCTGCAAGACAAATACTTGACCACTACGTGTTAGCATACCAAATGGTCTTTACATGGGGATTATTACGGTATATTTTGAAATTTTTTCTATCTTAAAAAAATGGATTTGTTTTATTTCATACCAAAAGACAGTTATTTGGCATCAGAAAACGTCAAGTAATTTTACCTTGCTGCGACCTTAAAAACTAGCCTAATTTTTCTTAATATGTTGCTCTTCTATGTTCATTCTGCATTATATATTTTCCTTAAACTAAGTGGAATGGAGCGTGATCCTTATAGTCAACTTGAAGTAGTTTGGGATTAAGGCTTATTTAAGCGTAGTTGAGCTAAGTTGATGATTATGTATTGTTTTGGTACTGGACCAATTAAGTCTTATCATCTGATTTAAAGGCTGTAGGCATGATCCGAAATGGAGAATGTAAAACCTAGGTTTGTGCTCTTTAAATCAAAGTGGGATAGGTAAATTTACACTTTGATTGGAATATATGATTGATTCAGAAATATAATGCAAGTGGTCTCCCCTCTGTCTCTTCGTTTCTTTTTTTAGGATACTCTACAAATAATTTTGTAGGTTTATTGGATAGATAGAAATTTCATTGCCTGGGTTTTGGGTTTCATCTCTTTCTATCATATTTATGTAAGTTCAAGTTGTCATCTGGCCTTTGAATTAGAAAACTTTATCTTCATTACATTTTACTGTTCTAGCAGGAGTTTCAAAACTACACTGTTGCACGGGATACTTTTCTGGCACATTTAGGTGCAACACTGTGGGGTTCCATGAGACACATAATTTCACCTTCAATTGCTGATGGTGCTTTCCACTATTATGAGAAGATATCCTTTCAGTTGTTCTTCATCACACAAGAGGTATGATGCCTTTTCTGTATTTTTATAGGAGCTTTTTCTTGATTGCAATTTGTATTTACTTGCAATTTATGGATGCAGAAAGTCAGAAACATTAAACAACTACCTGTGGATCTCAAGGCTATCATGAATGGGCTTTCCTCTTTGTTGTTGCCTTCACAAAAACCTATTTTCAGCCAGAACCTGTAAGTATTCCTTGTGTTTCTTTCAAGTTAATGCCCTGATAATTTCCTTTTGCATTAGACACTGGGTGAAACGAAGACAATTTTTTTATTTTGTTTTCTGGTATTAATGCTCTTTTGGATGATTCCCTTTATGTTTAGCTTCCATACTCTAAATAATTTGGTTCTTCTTTTCAACTTATACATAAGTTTGAAGCTGTCTGTAGATTACCGCTATCAGAAGATCCTGCTTTGGCAATGGCCTTTTCAGTGGCGCGAAGAGCAGCAGCTGTTCCACTATTGCTTGTTAATGGAACATATAGGAAGACCATAAGATCCTACCTTGATTCCTCCATTCTCCAATATCAGTTGCAGAAGTTGAATGACCATGGTTCTCTCAAAGGTTATCTATTCACTTATGAACTTTTCTCAAGTTGTTCTTAATCTAACTGATCAAAACAATGATTATCAGAACTTTTTAATTTGAGGATAAGCCTACATGGGACATGAACATGATGCAGAGCATTGGGTTCTTTGGAGATCCTTGAATGTTTCATTTATTTGTGTTTGTTCATTAGAAATTTGAGGTGTGAATCTGTGGCTACAATTTCTGCTGATCAGAGAGTCGTTGTTGCCCTCATTATGGAAGATTGTTGCATTATAACTGATCTTAATCATCTTATACTCTTGCCATGCAATTCCTGGGATTTTGTTAGTGTCTGTGCTGGCTTAAGCTTGTTTATTTATTTATTTATTTATTTTAAGCTTTTAGATTTTGTTTAAACTTTTATTTTCCTGTGTTTGCATTTTTCATTTTTCTCTTGCTAGTTTGCTTGTGAATTTCATTGCATAAATTGTTACAGCTCCAGTCATATTTTTATCATTCAAGTGAAGTTAAAAATGTTTACCCCCAGTTACAATAATGCAGGAGCGCATGCCAATAGCAGGTCTATGCTTGAAGTTCCTATCTTTTGGTTCATTCATGGAGAGCCATTATTGGTTGACAAACACTATCAAGCAAAGGCTCTTTCAGACATGGTGATTGTTGTCCAGTCGGAGCAATCATCCTGGGAAAGCCATCTTCAGTGTAATGGGCAGTCACTTCTATGGGATTTAAGGTCAGAATAATTGTCATTCTAATTTTGAGTTCTTGATGAATTTATTCCTAAGCCTCCTATTTTAGTTTACTAGTTCTCCAGAGAATTTTACTTCTTCTAAGGGGGAACTCTTGCATGCTTTGTTCTTTTCTAATTGGTTTAATTTTTTTCGAAACTGACATATCGGCATAATCCCCTCCTTGAGAAATGAGCACAAGTACAATTGCAATACTACACTTTGGTACTCATATTTATAATTTTTAACTGAATTTGCAATCTAACAAATTTAGTTGTTGTGTTCCTCTTTTTGCGCAATCCAGGAGACCCATAAAAGCTGCTATTGCTGCTGTTTCCGAACATCTGGCTGGTTTACTTCCCCTTCACATTGTCTATAGCCATGCTCATGAAACTGCAATTGAGGTATTAATTTGTGTTCTGGGGAATCCTTATTTTACTTCATTTACACATACTTGATGTGATGATGATGAAACTGTGAAGCTTCTGATCTAAAGAAATTTGGAGAATGCAGTAATCTTTTCGTGTTTCAGTTTTATTGATAACATTCTGTCAGAGGTTTAACATAGCACATCTATATTTTAAATTCTCATAGAAATTATATTTAATTTGTTGGCTTTATTCAGGCTTGATTTTTGGTGGTCTAGCGACATCAAAGTTGCTCAACTTCGGGCCTAAATGTTCAAATTATATTTCGATTTCCCTTATATTTTATTAGTCTTGTTTTTCTTGAAATGTAATGGTTTTTTTTATCTATATCCTGTGACATGCTAGACATATGCAAATCTTTTTCAAATTGTATATATTAAGATAAGCCTTTGCAAGCTAATATGGAATCTGCTTTATTATCCACTTTGTCGAGCATTCAACATATACTAATTGCTTAAATATTCTTTTTAGTTTATCAGATAAAACCATGCAGCCATGTACCTGTGATTAATAAGTTGTTAAATGCACCTTTTTTTTCCTCTGTATATTTATCTGCAGATCATCATTTTATAAGCTGTAGGATTTATTTTAGAAATTCAAAGTTCTGAGAGCATCGGTATTTATACTATCAATATTACCATGTTGTGTCTAGAGGCATTATGTGCTCATAATTTATTCTTCTCTCTCTCTCTTTCTCATACAGATATCTGCATGGATCCTTTACATGCTCATGCATTTGTATTCTTGTGCTTTGTAACTTGACCCCTGGTGGATTTTATTAAATGAGTTTGCATCTTCTGTACCACTATTCATATGGTATTGCTTGCAACTTTGGCAGGACTGGATATGGTCTGTGGGTTGCAATCCTATTTCTGTAACTTCTCAAGGTTGGCACATATCACAATTTCAGTCTGATACAATTGCTCGTAGCTATATAATCACAACTCTAGAAGAATCTATCCAACTGGTCAATTCAGCCATTCACCGTCTTTTCTTGGAGCCTACATGTATCCTTATCTTTATAGCAATTGAATAACTAGAAGAAAATTTCTTATGTTCTAGGGGCCAAAATTCTCAGCTTTTTTAGTTTTTCATCTTATATAATGTTTGGAGTCTGTTAAGAATCCAACATTGATTAAATGCCAACTCCATAAAGGGCATTTGTGTGGAAAGGTAGCTAGCTAATTGGTTAGTACTAACGTTTTAGCACTGGTTGGCCCAAGCCCAAGTAAACCTAATTCACACAACTTTTATCTTCATGGATTCTAATCTCTTGCATGATTCACCCCCTACCCTTCCATTTGTAAGAGTCTAAGGCTTATCTTCATGAATTTGATTGGGTTTTCATTGGTCATCCATCTGCACATGGAATTTCTCTTAGAACTATTATGAAATAAAAATTCTATCTGGACAGTATTAATGCTGGGAGTCTGGGATGCTAGGGACTACATAATCAATTAGGAATTTGCTACCCATATCTCAATCCTTTGTTTATCTGCTTGCACCCTCTTGCCTCTTCTTTTTATTATGATGGTAGTCTATATTTTCAAGTTTTCACCCTTGAAAAACTACCCATCAATGGTATTTTCTGATTTATTAAATGAAGCATCTAAGGCTATATGCTGCTGCATTTGTACTGCTATTGGAAAGACCTAACAAATTCCAGCTGAAAAGACATTCAGGCTCTTTCAGTCCAAAGAGCAAGAGCTTGTGAACAAGTATAATTACGTTGTTAGCCTGTGGAGAAGGGTGAGTACCCCTTTTCTACAGAATTATTATATTAGTTACATTTCCTAATAAGCATTTGTAGAATCATCTTAATTTGTATCTTATTGTCTTTGCAGATCTCAACCATTACTGGAGAATTGCGTTATGTGGATGCCATGCGACTTCTTTATACCTTAGAGGATGCTTCCAAAGGGTTAGGCACTTGCTACTAGCATTCATTACATCCATAGGATCAATGCAGATTTTGTTTTTTTTTTTTTCCCCCCCCTTAAAACAGAATTCAGAAACATATCTCTTGTTCAGAAATGGATAGGGAAGAGAACACTCACAGCACACACTGCAAAAACAGGTTATGTAACTGAACCTCCAAAGAGTGGCTATACTTTTCATTCACAGATGCCAATACATCTGTTAGTTACAAGAGATCTAAGTACAAAAAATATCAGCCATGCTTTACCTTTTCTATCATATATAAACTCAAACTCACATATTTCTTCCACTTACTCAGCCTTACTGAGTTTCTTGCTAACAGTTAAAACTGATTTGAAGACAAGCTTCCCCTCAACAAACATCACGCAACCAGACTGTTGTCACAACCTTCAACACCCTCAACCATCACCATCCTGTTCCCTATTTCTTGTTATTTGCACTTTCGCTCTAGTGATGGTCTACTTATGTAGTAAAGTTTTCAAGGATTTTTGATTGATTAGGGTTGAGCTAAATCCCGTATCAGAGAAAACTGAGCAAGCCTGGTAGCTTATAGGCCAGATCCCGTATTCTTTCTGTATAGTTACCTTTTTAAAGAAGCAAAATAACTAGCCCAAGAGGACCGAAAATAGATATTACCTCACATTGGGCACAGACCTTGCCCAACCCATCACCCACTAGAAAGGATTCAGTAGAACTCCTTGACTTTTGGCTGGGGGCGAAGTCGCTGGTCCAGAATAACCAGCCATGAACATGACCTCATATGGACACAGACCATCAGCCTGATCCATCATTGATGGCAATAGAACGGCTGGCCTGAGGCAAAACCAGATAATAGCTAACAGTGTCAATTTCTGGTAACTTATTCTGTATGTTTGTTCTAGAAGATGTCAATCTAACATTTTTCCTCTGCCTGTTTGATTTTCTTTTTTAATAAAGAAAATATGGTTGGTTGGGAATTGAGTAAGCAATTGATATTATCTTGTTTTTCTCACAGGTTTGCTGATCAAGTAAATTCAACTATAGCTCTTCTGCACCCAATTCACTGCACCACAGAGAGGAAAGTGCATGTGGTGTTTGATATGACAACAATGCCTGCTTTCTTGACAGTTCTCGCCGTTCTTTATATTGTCTTGAAGCCACGGCGACCAAAGCCCAAAATTAATTGATAATACTTCGGGGCAGAGTTGATGAACGTGAAGAGCTTTGGCTAACCTGTGAGGAAACGATTATGCATTTGTCCCCTTATATGTATACACATTTGTTTTCCTGCTTGAGGCAGCACAATTTTATTGAAGTAGAGTTCAATTACAGAAAAAGTAGGAATGATAACAGCGAGAGCAGCTCGGTTCCAGGGAAGTGGCATTGTACTTTCTGGCCTAGCATTTGAATTTTTCAAAAATTTCTAACGTAGGGGAAGTGTAATATATGTTTGAATTGTATCAATGGACTCAATAGCAAGTTGAAAATTTTGCTGCATACCGATCAGTCCAGCATTCTGGTCTCTGCTTGTCCTGAAGTCGAACTCTACGTTATATATTACTTAGTTTGGCTTGATTTTATGAAGAAGCATTTGTTAAATTGTAAAGTTCAGAATGATTTTTGGAAAAGCACTTAGTGTGAAGCATGCAAAATAATTACTGAATAGCATGAAACAAGGAATTTATAAAGTAGTTTCATGAGATTTTTTTTGTCAGAGTTTTCATTTATCTCAAATTGTTATTCTGTTTTTTCTTAAGTGAATAATATTTAAATTTACTATTTTTCCTTGTTTAATGCGCTTCTTTTATTAATAATTATAATAATAAAATTATATGCTCCATTCGACTCAAAAAACAGTCTTTTTTTTTTTTTTTTGTTTACTTTTTTTTTTTTTTTTAGTTTGTCACTTCAAATATATCGACTTTCCTTTTTATAATCATAGTTAATTTTTAAATTTGTCTACTGTACCTATTATCTTATTTTTAATAACTCATTAATTCTTATTTTTTTTTTTTTTTTTAGTTTGTCTCAAAATATAATCGACTTTCTTTTTTTATATCATAGTTAATTTTTAAATTGTCTACTGTACCTTTATCTTATTTTTAATAACTCATTAATTCTTATTCTTTATTCTAATATAATAATTGCTTGTGTATTATTTAAGATGAGCATAATAGAAATGTTATATACATAAAATTATCCTTTAATCATATTTTTTAATTTCTATAAAAATAGAAAGTGGACTATCTTTTTGAGACGGATGAAGTATTATTATTAATTAAATTTTGATATGAACAAAATTAAAATAGCAAAGAAAGCTCTCTTTAATCAAATGTTTGACTATAGTTTGATTAATTTTAATGATAATTTGATATAAATAATTTAATTTTAATGAAATATTAATATAAGGGTATACTAGAAAAAACAAAGTAAAAAATAATTTTTCAATATATATGCAACTTAAACGAAAACAAAAATTATAGGATGCAGAACACGGAGGGGGTATAATTTAAAATTAGTAAATATTCCACAATCCAACTAATAAATGAGATTTGTATTTCTGACCTTACATGCAGAAAAAAAAAAATTAAATTTAAAATATTCCATTTTTATTGATTTAATATATTAGTGGAGCATGTATATATACATCGTGTACGTGTATACAGTATTTTCCATCACCAATATCCGCTATCCTTGTCAATTTCCTGATACGTGAAGCGGCAGTTATTGTCTGTTAACGCATCCATACTTACTTTTTTACCTACTCAGTAGTCAGTGCCATCAAGCCATTGTTTAGTAACGTGTAAAAAATGGCATGCGGCAACCGATTTTAATCCATCACTTGCTTTTCATACTGTTTATTTCTGCTGCTAAATTACTTTTTTTCTTCAAAACCTGTAATGGGTATCCAGGCTGTTTAAGGAGGATTCTATTACTCCCCTCCCTACCAAATCCTATCTTCAACAAGGTATTCCGTTTTTTATTTATATATCGGTTTTCCATATTTGTTCTGGCAAAGAAATTGGAACTTTTATTTGATAATGTTATGTGATTGAAAGTGCCTTGCTATAACAAGAAAGGTTAAGTTTTCCTACATTTTTCTATGGATAAAAAAGGATATGGTTGATATGCTTAAAAAGGAAGAAATATAAACTCTCTGCTTCTGATTGGAGTCCTGGTCATTCATGTTTTTCTGGGCTTATCAAATTTTTATTTTTGGTTCCAGAGAATGGACGAATACGGTCTTGAGTACACTTTGGATGAGGCACTTGTTGCAGTTGGGTTTGGGAAATTTCAAGGTCTTGTGCTTCTTTATGCTGGCCTTGGTTTGTTTGCAGAAGCTATGGAAATTATGATTCTCTCTTTTGTGGGACTGGCTATTGAGACTGAGTGGGGACTCTCCTCATCCCAAAAGAGCCTATTGACAAGTGTTGTTTTTGCTGGTATGCTAATTGGAGCATATTCTTGGGGCCTTATATCAGATAACATGGGAAGGAAGTTAGTTGTTTTTCCTCCTTTATATTTCTTCTAATATGGATCTATAATTTCTTTGATTCTTCAAACTAGGACTAAAATGTGTTTAAGAACCTTGTATTTATTATTAGTATTCCTTTTCTTTTTCTTCTTTTAGTTATTCTTTAAGTTGCCAAGCAATGGACTGCTGGGCTTGCTTTTGGATATTTAAACTTGGAAATATGTTCTACTAAGCTTCAAGGATGCTAATTTTGTATTGCTTTTACTTGATGGGAGATTTTGAGCCGTCAGCAATTAGAAAAGAGCGAGCTAACTGTCTAACATCTGAAGTTTTTGTAAGATTGTGTCATTATCTTTCACAAGTGGCATACAAGTTTATGTAATAGTGCATCCATTATCCACCTATTTTTGTTGCTTAAAAATTTTGGTGTCAGCATTTTGTAAAATTTTCCTAATGTGGGCAGGAATATTTCCAATATGAAATGGGTAGGTCACTGACATCATACCTGAAAATTAGTACCTAAATATCGTTTTAGGTTTTGGTACATGGAATTTAAGTAGTTGAACTGAAAGAAGTTAATTTTTGTTATGCAACCTGCGGAGTTCTTGAATATCTTGTAACTAAAGTATATTAATATGCAGATGAACATGCACACAGCACCATGAAGACATTCAACACATATAAAGCCCTTTGATCATGATGTAGAAACCAGCTATAGAAATCACCAATTGATTTTTAAACACTTGAATGCAAACTTATTATAAGGCCATGTCAAATTTTCAGCCATTTAGCTTTCAGTCAGAGCAAGTAAATGAATTTATGTGAAATCTGGTCAATTGTTTATTCCAGGAAGGGACTTCTAGGCTCAACTATACTAACTAGTGGAGCAGGACTGTTAAGTACTTTCTCTCCAAATTATATATCATTGTTGATTCTTCGTTCTTTGGTTGGTATCGGCCTGGGTGGCGGACCTGTATTCACCACTTGGTTTCTAGAGTTTGTTCCTGCTTCAAACAGAGGCATGTGGATGGTTGTCTTCTCAGCTTTCTGGACATTTGGAACGATTTTTGAGGCTTCAGTTGCATGGGTATGTTCTTTTTCCTGAACTATTCAATTATTCTCCAAATTACTCTTGTTTGTTAATTTGATTTCATTAAAATCTATTCCTATCCGATATTATTTGAAAAGGGGAAATGAAAAATGAAGATGGCATTGTTTTCTGTGTTCTTTGTGAAAAGTTGTTTGGTTTTCATTGAGCTTTATAGTTCCAGTTGTATTCAAAAGTGTGTTCTTTCTTCTTTTTTTTCTTTAATGTTCTTTGAAAAAGAAATTCGTTTTCAGGCTGCATTTGACATGTAGGAACACGGCACAAGTACTTGTGAAGTTAACGTCTCTATATTATGTAATCTTGTTACATAAAGGTAACACACCCACCGATTATGCTCAAGCTGGAAGGCTTAGATTAACTCAAAAGTTAGTTAAGAGAGCTTCTCTTTAGCAATATGCCTATGGACTATGGAGCTTTAAGTTTACATAATCCGATTGAAAAAGGTTCTGCAATGAAAAGAGCAGTTGACTCTTGAGAAATTCTGAAACATAACATGGCATGGAATCTCTATCATGGAAAATTCATTCTCACTTTTAGGTTGTTCGGAAAAAAAAAAAAAAAAAAAAAAATGTCTAGAAAACATAACGATGGCATGGAAATCTCTATCATGGAAAATTCATTCTCACTTTGTAAGGTTGTTCGGAAAAAACAAAAAAAAAAGAAAGGACGAAAAAAAAAAAAAAAAAAAAAAGAATTCTGTCTTAACTTAATGTACCTATACTATCTTGACTTGTTTAACTTAAATTTTTGACCTTTTATCAATTGAAATGCCTTTCAAAATCAATGAAACATCTACTGTAATTATTTCTTTTAGACCTGACCAAACTGTCCAGTTGGAACAGGTTAACCAGAAACTGGCTGCTAACCTGGATCGGGTCTATTCCAAACTGTTTTTGAGTCAAACCTGGTAGTTGAACTAGTCTTTTATGGAGGAAACTGGTAATAGATTAGACTTGAGGTTCAACCAATTTTCATGAGTTGTAAATCAATGCCACCAATCTACTAGGTTATCATTTTATATTTAAAAAAAATTAATTCTTTAAAGGCTTAAATTTCCATAAAATTCCAATTGTTTACTGTATGTAAATTTTATTACTGGGATTTCATTGTCTGGTGGGCTAGCAATGGTCCATTATCAATCCAGTGGTCATGAGGTTGTTGGGTCTAGGTCTTGATCGAGTTTGTGGTTCCATATCCAATTCCCACCTTTCAACCATATTAATTACATTATTAATAATGGTGTGTTTGTCTGATAATGTCAATTGGCCATCTTTTCTTCTTAGAGAAATATGTAAGCTAACTTGCAGAAAGTTTTTAGTAAACAAATTCATTGCATAAAGTTTATTTAGGCTTAACGTAATCTGGAACTTCCAGTCTTCTTAGCTGCTGTAGACTTGAAATTGGCATCCTAGTACTTGAAGATTTGGGACTTCAAATGCTTCATGTTGTTATTATTGCAGATAGTGATGCCGAGATTGGGTTGGAGGTGGTTACTTGGAATCTCCTCTCTGCCATCAATTGCTCTACTTCTCTTTTATTCTCTTGCGCCAGAGTCTCCAAGGTATCTATGCACAAAAGGTAGAACAAGTGATGCACATAAAATCCTGGAGAAAATAGCTTTGCTCAACCAAACAAAATTACCACATGGGATGCTTGTTTCTGATAGTACAACCAGATTGGATGAACAATCTTCCTCATCAGGCTATAGCCCTTTACTTTCCTCAGCTAGTGAAAACATCTTGAACACTAAATCAGGCTTCTCGTCTTTTCTTACACTATTCTCATCGAAATTAATTCGAACGACACTTCTCTTATGGGTGTTATGCTTTGGGAATTCATTTTCATATTATGGTATTGTATTGCTGACCTCGGAACTAAGTGGTAGCCAAAGCAAATGTCGCTCAGCTATCTTGTATTTTGAAAATCTCCAGGAGAATAGCATCTACATTAATTTATTTGTCACTAGTTTGGCAGGTACTGCATATCTAATCTTCTCTTTCTTCTACTTAATTTTGTGATTTGTTCAGAGTGAACTATTTCATTATTCATCTCTTAAGTTTTTGATAGTTATCATATGAAGTAGTTATTAAGAAATATTACTTGAAAATCATCTTGCAGAGCTTCCTGGGCTTATTTTATCGGCAGTAGTTCTGGATAGAGTTGGTCGCAAGCTTTCCCTGATATTCATGTTTGTTTTGGCTTTTGTTTTCCTTCTGCCGCTTGTTGCCTATCAACCTGCAATATGGACAACAGTCTTGTTATTTGGAGCTCGCATGTTTGTCGTTGCAACCTTTACAGTCGCATGCATATATTGCCCAGAGGTAAGTTCTTGGAACATTCTGTTCCTTCTTTCACATCATTTTCTTGTCAAACTTTATTCTTGTCACCAAAGGTGATGGTTGATTCATTTTCTATTCTTGAATTTGGAAAAAGTATACTATTGAGATACTGCCAAGAAAGTTATCAAATATCTTTTTTTGCTTCATTTCCTATCTCAAGTGCTGGAGGTTGACACTTTTTTCAATATTGCCATTCCTCCAGCTATACCCCACATCGGTGAGGGCAACTGGCTATGGAGTTGCAAGCGCTATGGGGAGGATTGGCGGGATGGTATGCCCTCTTGTGGCAGTAGGACTAGTGAATAGCTGCCAGATTGAGGAAGCCATAGTTCTGTTTGAGGTTATAATAGCTACTTCAGCAATTAGTGTTTTGTTCTTCCCATTTGAAACCAAAGGTCGTGAATTAAGTGACAGTGTTGCTGCTTTTGGTCCCAAACAAATTCTTCATCATCCTTTATAAGGAAATGTACATGATATGATAAATGCAGTTAAAAAGAAGAACCACAAATATTCTTTTGAATGCAGCAATTAGTGTTTTGTACACGCCGTGTTCTAACCAGGCTCAATCCAACCCAACTTGCGGGTTTAAAAGTATAATCGATTGAGTTGGCAGGTCATTTTTATGATTTATGAGTTGGGTTTTGTCAGATCACAGGTCCACAAAGTAAACCCGCTGATCCGACCCAATTCGATCTGTAAACAATATTAAATATATATATATATATATGTGTGTGTGTAATTATGAATTATTTGAATTAACTTAATTTGCTTTATAATTGTGAATATGAATACTAGATTATTTATAAATTTAGTAGATTTACCTTTTAAATTATTGCTTTTTTTTAATAGAAACTTATTTTGAAATGTTATTATTGGAACATATTTTAATTTAAAATTTATTGAATCATGTTATTAAGTATTAGTATTAATTTTATTGGTTGTCTTTATTTTTTCATTGTTGTTGCTCATTGTTATTATTATTTTCAACACTCTTTTTTAGAATGTTGTTATTGGCACTATATTTGTGAAAATTGTTTTATAATTGTGTTTCTAAGTATATTTAATATTGTTAACTATATTTCTGTTAAACAATTGTATTTTATTTAAAATTTATATCTGTTATTTATCATTTATTTGACTCGCGAATTACGTTAAATTCATATCCAATACAAACTGTTCATAATTCCTGGATTTATGTATTTCATGAGTTGACTTGAAAAAATTATTGAGTTCAATAATATGGATTGGGTACAGCTTCACAATTTCTTATAACTATAATTGAAGTCAATGGCTTAAAGTAATATCTGATTAATGTAATTGGTAATTTATTCGATAAGTGGAGGATAAAAATTGTGCCTAAGCTCTATGTATAGTTGGTCCTATGCACAATTTTTAAAAAATATTAATTTTTCCGTGTATCGTAAAAATACTCTTATCTAGATATGTACATTAAGATATAATTTTAAGCTTAATGCATAAATTTATCCTTAAAATTCAATCACGACTCTGAATATTTACATTTTATTTTATCCAACAGCATGGCTGAAAATTTAGAGTCATAAGTGTCACAAGGCATGTAAACTTGAGAGACAAATATACGAGCTAAACGTATGAATTTGGCGTATGATAAGTGCACGTTGAACTTGATAATAGGTAATCCGCTCCCTCCACCCTTGCACCAAAAAAACACACTATTTGATTGGTTCCGTATATATATCGGACCGTACACGGAGAATGTCTAAATCTAGAAGCATGGAGCCGCTGGGCTTTCCTCTTCTAAGTTCTATCTCTCAACTTGAGGAGATTGCCTCAAATGCATGTCAAAATTACATGCATGCCACCATAGCGTCGCTCTTATCTGCCCAAACAAAACCCATGAAGGGTAAACAGGTAATTTAAAACAAAATGGGTTATCCGCTTTACCTCAAAACCGTTATTATCCATCTTGTCTCCACAGCTCGTTCTTTGAGCTTCACATTCCAAAGAATATTAATACTACCTTCATCTTTTTCTCGGTTTTTTGAGGGCAGCGTATATCTGGGTCTTTTGAGAAACTTCATCAATTGGATTTTATCGTAGGGGATTTTGGCTTTTTCTGTACAGAAAGTTTCAAATTTTGGTATAGTTATATAATGCCTTTGTTGGTTGAAAGTAAGCAGCTTGATTGTTTGTCTATTGTAAGTTGGAATGTTTTATTGCTATTATTGTTTTGAGAAGCCAAAAAATGGTGGCTTCTATACATGTTATTCTTAATGAGCACTTCAATTGTCTTATGCCACAGCTTAGTGTATATTGATAAAAACCCATATAGGAAACCTTTATCTTCTACAAATGCATCCAAATTTTTGCTTCAATTGAGTAGTAAGAAGCGGAGAAGTTGTTATTTAGTTCCAAATGCAAAGAAAAATGGCAACAGTCATTCAAAGAAAAGAAGTTGGTGGCAAAGGTTCTTTTTTGATGATGATGGCAATTGGCTTGGTTTAAAAGATGATGATATGCATGAGATTGAGGATGAGGTATCAGAGAGTTCTAGTGATGAAGAGTTGTCTGAAGAGGAGAAGTTTGAGGCATGGAAGAGAAGAGCTGAGGCCATTGTGGAGTTGAGGGAAGCACAAGAAGATATGTTGAATGAGGAGAGTAAAAGATGGGAGGATTGGATTGTGGATGATACTAATGATCATAACGTCAATGGTTCATGGTGGAGTCAAGATTTGGATGGTAATGGTGCAGCCAATGAAGTGCGATCAGATCTTGTTCCAGAGAAAGGGTTTGTTCAGTCAGTTAGGGATTTGGTTCTTGGTAGGGAAGAAGAGGATATATTATATGAAGACCGAGTTTTCCGTTATGCCTCTTTAAATTCGGTATGCCTTAGTTGCACCTTCAATTTACCATGCTGTATGATTATGATCCTATATGCAATCTTCTTCAACGTATCTTGATGTCATATTATGTATTCACATGGGCCTATAATGCGTTTGGGGTTTTTCATTTCTTTTTGATTGGATGCATTGTCACATGATCTAGAATGCTTTGCTGTTGATAATATCTCTTCATGTCAAAGGTTTGTCGCTAATTATTAAGTTCATAACCTATGAAGCATTCAAGCAACCTTAGTAGAAACGAGGATTAGCATTGTGTGATTCCATTACAACAGCTTTAGCCATGATATTTACTTTGTATGATATGCGCTTAATTGCTAAAGCTGAATTTGCATCTCTCTTCCAGAATACAAGAATGCAATATTTTAAATGATGGCAAGAGAAGACTATGAGTCCTAATTCAATAATGCAATAGTACACGATGATAAGATCTCTAGCTGGCAACGCGTTTTATAGTTCGAATGGTCATTGGAATATTATTAAATGTATTAAGAGCATGTTTGATAGACCATAATGAAGTGAAGTTTGCAATGCTACTTCTAAGCCAATATGGTGAGGAGCACAATGTCAGTCACAGTTTCTTAGCAGTTCAAGATGTGTTGCTAAGGATTAAGCTCATCATTTATAAAGCACTCTAGCAACCCTCGAAGCAACAAAAACTTGCATGAATTTCAATTTCATTATGTCCAGTTACGTATTACCTAACATTCACTTTCTTTCCCTCTAAAATGATTTCATTCAACTCATTTTGTTCTGGATTGAGTTTCTGCAGCAAGAATAATCAGGTTAATGTCGTTTACTTGAACCTACATGTCATATGCAATATTGTCAGATGACCAAACTTTATGGTATTAAATTGTTTATTATGGACAAAAAAAAAAAAAAGAAGTAAAATAATAGACCTTGCATAACACCTTGATTGTTGTACGTTTGACTTTGCATAAACTTTATTATCAAGTCTTGTCATACCCATATCTTCTATCCATAGTGCACTGCAAGGATCCTTGATATATTCACTAAGTGAAATGACTACGGAAACAACTCCAGGTTACTTTTGGATGATGGGCCCCACATGCCTAGTTGCATAAAATGTTGTAACTATATATTTCTTTTCTGGTTTAATTTTCTTTTTCTTTTTATATTCTGTCAATAATCCTGTTTTCTTGTTTGCATTGTGAATAATTTCCTTGCTTGTGAAGATCTTTTTATCAACATATGACTTGACACCCTAGACATATTCATCCTTGTTGCAGGCTAAATTTCTTGCAGTATTGATATTTGTCCCTTGGGTACTGGACTTTGCTGTGCATGACTATGTACTTATGCCTTTTCTTGACAGGTAATGATTAGTACATACTATTTTTGCCTTTTAAGTGAAATGTTATCATTTTAGTTCTAATTGCAATCATCTAAATACTTTTTTTTCCTTCCACCTAAACTTTTTTATTGCTGTCTCATATCTTTAAAATAATACATGTGGTCAAAACTACTTTTACACTAAGGGGGAAGGCACTTCCTTTTCTACCAAAACAATCTGTGAATAAGAACATATGTAGAAGCACCCAAATTAACCTTACAAAATTGGAATGCAAGTGATCATTTCTTATAGAATGCAAGTGACCTTTTCTTAATCATACTATAACGATCTTCTTAAGATAACTCACTAATGGTTATTCTCCTGCAATCATGGTAAGGGTTTCCAGTCCGCCACCTCATTTAACATCACTTTCTTGTATTACTAAGTAAAATATTTAACCAAAATATTGCAGGAAACGTTATTTATTGAACAGATTAGAAATTCATGTTCTGTGATCTGTGCTTACAGGCTCTTGGATTTGTTGCGTTTTGTTTCTTTCCATGTGTTTTGCAGATAGTCCTTGTCCTTCCATTTTAGTGAGTTTGTCAAAGTCAAAGAGAGGATGTCATCTTCCTTAAATACTGTTTAATTTTCCTTTTGACTATGAGAATATCTTGTAGTTCTCCTAAGCACTCCAAATGTCGAAAAGGAATGAAAATGTTCACTAGAAAATATTACGAATGAACCAAATGGAGCCTAAATAGAAAGAATCACAAAACTTTTCAAATAAAATAAATTCTTAACAAAAGAATCTTGAACAATTTTCTACTCTTCCTGTTTAGAAATTCTAAAATAGGAAGTTCTATCAGAATTACTTAAATATACTTTAAGTTGAAGAAAATGAACTGAGATAGAAAAGGAAAGTCATTGAATCAAAGGATTCACTACTATGTCACACTGGTTGACAAGAATTGCATGCATTAACCTCCTAACAAGATACTGAGAAATATTTTCAAATTAAATTTTTTATGCTTTCTTTGCAGCTTTGCGTAAACTATTCCTTTTTTTTTTTTTTGAATATTATTAATTGCTCCTTTTTTCCCCATTTTTTCAATTCTGTCACATTCATGGCCAATCTTTCTCTGAGGTTTTTTATCAAAACCATTTTACCACTCTTAGCCCATTTCGTTATGGGTTTCTTTCCTCTTATTTCTCCTACTACTTGAATTGTGCGGGTACATTCACCATTTGATGATAGACTAACTAAACCATCTGAGATAAAATTCTTTGGGTATTTGCTAAGTATTAATTATTGCTCAAAATTGGCATTCTTGATTGATGATTATTGGTATCAGTCAAGAGTAGTTTCCTCTTCAATTTCATTTCTCCTCGTCAGATGCATCCATTATCCTTAATGATTCAAGTGAAAAATAAGAATTTGTGAAGTTGCTCATTTAGTTCTTTTGGTAGTATGGTTCTAGGTTAATCTGCCAATTTCAACATTGGGCACCAAGCATCTTTATACAATGGGCATGAGACCTTGCATTATCAACATTGGTGGTATTATTGAATGTTTTGCACTTATTATTGTTTTTTTTAAGCTAAAGCAAGTATATCCACTTCTTACTTAAGGATTAATCATCTGTTTTAATGATATATCAGTACACTTTTTGGCTTTGAATTTCTGACCAAGCCCAGTAACTCTATGTCATAAATAGGTATGTGAAGACTGTGCCACTTGCGGCACAGATGCTTGACGTAAGAAAAAGTCAAAAGCTTGAAATGGTTAAGGAACTAAATACTGAGAAAGCAAGATTGCGGTTTGAAGTAGAGATCGGTAAATCTCCACCTCTTTCAGATGAGGAAGTGTGGTGGGAATTACGGCATAGAGCGTAAGAACAATGCTGTTTTTGCTCCTTTTTGCAACTAATGTTATTATGCTACCTTGTTACTTCATTAAATTATTTGCAAATTAGGTAAGGTTTCTGTTAAAGTAATGACAACACATGGCAGAAACCATTACTGAGAAAGTAAAATGTAACGTATCTCACTGTTGAGCAAGCAGTAGTGAACCTTCCAAAATTTGCTCTCTTGAAAAGAGTTATACCTGAAATTGTATTTTTGTCCTTATACCTCTATCTATATGATTGATCCTCTATAGTTAAGGCATTACTATTTTCCATCACCTTCCATTTTAGCTGGACCCTGAAAATAATTGCTTAAAGATCAACCATTTTGTATTGTATAGTTTGATCGTGTGAGTTTTTCATGCTACAAATATTTCTTCAGTCAAGTGCTCTTTAAGTCTTCTAGAAATAAAAAATAGCTTTAAGTGTGGGGGGGAGTTCTTAATAACTTTCTATGCTTTCCTTTTCCCTTTCTTATTTATTTATTTTTTTTTTATCTGTTTTTGTAAATTTTGTAAGTTACTTGTTTTCTTCATATTAGTTACTAAACAAAATATATGGCAGAAATGCTTGGTGTTATAAATGCCCCTAGCAGTAGGCCTGGGTCCTAGTATCAAGCGTATAGTGTAGGATAATATGATCGAGGAGTCAAGTTAGAAATTTTATAAAAATGTTTATACTTTGACTTTCATTAACTATGTTCCATTGCTTGAGAATTGTAATGTTTGGTGTACGGATTTATACAGCTGAGGAATGTTAGGATACATATGCAGACTGTAAGTGCATTCTTTTTAATGGATTGATTATATGTATTCACTGCATGTAACGTTGGATTAATGATCTTAAATTATGAAGAATCATAAGTTCATTGTTAAAGTTGGCTAAAGATTGTGCACACAAATTAACTTTTGTACTCTATTTCAGTTTCTTATGTTAATTCCTTTAATATTTTTAGAATCAAAATTTCAGCACAATCATAACTGTGGCATTTCATGTAAGAAGATAGTCGCGGTAACTTACCAAAAATCTAAAAAAAGTAATAGTTTCTTCCCGTCGCATCTGTCTTCAGGACCGATCTTTTGTGCTTCTTACCTTTTGTGCCTTTTTTTTTTTTTTTTTTTTTTTTTTTGACTCTTTTGGTGCCTTCTTTACTTTGTTGCTTTTTTTATTTTTTTTTTTTTTTTTTTGGTTGAACGTTTTTTTTTTTTTTTTTTTTTTTTTTGTTGAAGCCACTTGCTCCTATTGTTTGATTCAGCTCACTAAATGTTAACCTCTAATTAACAAGGGATAAAATCTTATTTGCTCCTGGTTTTTGTTCAACAGGTTAGAGCTACGGGATGAGTGGAGATTAGAGAACCGTAGAGCATTTGCCAATATATGGTCAGACATGGTCTTTGGGATCTCGTTGTTCATCCTTTTATGCTTCAATCAGAGTAAAGTGAGCTACAAGCCATTTTCTTTGCATAATGCTTTTATATATGGTCTACATGCTACATATCATTTGTGGGAAGCACATCATTGTCATTATTATTGTCATTGATGTTGTCATCATAATCATGTATCAATTTAAACTTGTACTAGTTGAAGCAAGAACAGTAACTAGGATAACCATTCTTACTACTTGGGTTAGTCTGAACTCGATCTTACAGGTTTCCACTATATAAGGAAGAAGTAAGGTATTAGTGTAGTGGGCTAGAGGGGCTTCTTCATATGGTAAAGTCAGTATGATAAGTTTCTTAACTGGCTCTCCTGAGAATGTTCTCAGTAATAAAAGCTGGAGGGAGGAAGAGAATGTCCATTTAGAATTGGGATTGAAATTTTTTTTTTTTTCTAAAAAGAAGAATTATTTTTATATGTTTTTGCCAAAAAAAGGCTATTCTGGAGTTTTTATGGACAAAAATGTCAAAATGTTTATTGTCTTCTAATCAACAAATTTAAGATGATTGTGTTCTGAGTAGTAGCTACAATAGCAATGCCAAGTGGGCCCTAAATGAGCAAGAGAATGAAAAGTTACAAAGACAGTGTTGACAAAATAAAGGTGTGTGAACTCGATGACTCAGGGTTTGTCCTGCCAACTATCCCAAGATCAAATTTGTGCTACTACACGCTTTTAAGGATAAAAAAAAAAAAAAAAAAAAGGCTACTACGGACGCTTTTTAAGGATAAAAAAAAAAAAAAAAAAGAGACAGAGATAATGAGTTCTCTGTTCTTCAAGAAAGAACAAAATCCAATTGATAAAGCAAAATGGGTGTTTACAGATTGTAATTATTGATGTTAACTGGGTTTTTAACACACTAAATGTTATCCTAAATAGGATGTTTTACAAAAAAAAAAAAAAAAAAAAAGAGACAGAGATAAATACCTTCTTCTGTTCTCAGAAAGAACCAAAATCCAATTGATAAAGCAAATGGGTGTTACAGATTGTATTATTGATGTTAACTGGGGTTTTTACCACACTAAATTGTTCCTAATAGGATGTTTACCACCGTACAATTTCAGATTCTATTATTCATGTAGAGTGGGGTGTTTACCGCCCAAAATTCCTCCTGGTAATAGTTTCAAACCATTTGATCTTTTAAAAAGGATAATTATAAGCTGACTTGGTTGGTGGTTCTCATCATGGGCGACATCAATCGACAAATAGTGTCCAGGTGCAGTTTCTGTACCTCTGGTCTGGCTTTGGTGGTTACCCAGTTAAAGGGGCAACTCACATTTAAGGGCATAGGAAGCTTTGCTGTATTCATCAGAAGGACCAATATGGACATCTATGTAACTTTCAACTTCACCTCTACTCACCTCTCAATTCAGGTAGAAATTTAGTTACTGTAATCTGATCAGGAATCTATTCGAGTAGTTGACAGCACAAATGACGTAATACTATTGGTCCTTAGATTTACGCTGCATTCACCATTATCTAACTTTTATTTTTCTTTTATATTTATTTATACTGTTCTGTCATTTATCTTCATTGCTACACAAAATTTCAGTCTTTTCATCTCAAAAAATGGAAACATTTTACAATTCTTTTTAATGAGCATCATGCACTTTGTTTAGAGTTATAAAATTGTTCCAGCTGCTGTTAAATGTCAAGGACTTAATAGAAAGATAATTTATATTGCTGGTCAATTTGTTTTGATTCTCATAATGACATGCATCTATATTGTCTGTTTGGCAGACTTTTCAGTAACTTGACCCTGCATTCAGATGTTGTAGTTTATTAACTATCATCTTTCGCCTTGCCTCAATTTTGCAGGTAGCTTTGCTGAAATTTACTGGATATAAGATAATAAATAATATTTCCGACACTGGCAAGGCATTTCTAATTATACTTATTACAGACATTTTTTTAGGGTAATGCTTTCTGCTTTGTGACGCTCATGAGATTATGCTTCCCCTTTGCATATCTGCTTTACCCTACTTGTTTAATAGAAATTCACTGTAACTGATGTTGTATTAAAGATGTCGAAAATTAGCTAGCCTGATATTAACTCTAGTCTTAATATGAAGTCTATAATTTTACTTGTTTCACTCTGCAAGTTGAATTTCTTTCCTATTCTCCACTTAAAAATTTTCCCCTTCATTGCATAATATTGTTTGGTACTGTTGTAACAGATGGAAGCATGAAAATTTGTGTATAATCAATAACTTTTCCTGATAAGTATTCACTATTTATATACATAAATGTATGTCTCTTTGCGTGTGCTGCTTGCAGGACTTCTTACTCAAAAACAAATCTAAGCAATCTTTTGCTATGAACTCAAATTCCTCTTTCATGTTTATAATGCCTTTTTTTCTTTTTATGGGCAAATACTGCACCTGCAGGTATCATTCTGAATCTGGTTGGCAAACCTTAGTGGAGATAATTGTTGAGCACTATGGGGTTGAAGCGGATCAGTCTGCAATAACTATTTTTATTTGCCTGGTTCCAGTTATTATCGATGCATGTGTGAAGCTTTGGGTATGCTCTACAGTATTTTTTAAAACTCAAATGCATTTTTGATCCTTTTTTTTTTCATAATTTTTTTCTTTTTCTTTTGCTTTTGTTTTTCTAGACATGAAGTTGATGTGGTTAGGCATTTTTCTTCGTTGACCCTCTGTTATACTGTTTATTCCATTTTCTTTACATCCTAATGCCTAATCCAGGGGAAGAATATTTCATTGATCTTATTCTAACTAAAACGTCAACTTGCAACCATGTAGCTGCCTGGAATAGTAGGACACTGTTAACATGGGCTAGAATAGTGAAACCTTCATGCAAATACAGTTATATTATAATCGATTGCTTGCCCAAATTCCACATTAAGTGCAATAAGTTAAGTACAGGCATGTGGAATTATGAAAAGATTTTGATATGGTAATAATTATGAAATTTAGTATATGTGTCTCGCAAATCTAGATTATCATTTTCAGTTTTCTTTACTAAGTTTTAATAGTTCTTCTCCTTTGTAAGCATTGTGTAGATAGAACATAGTCAAGGGCAATTATAGAAAATATATATAATATGTGTGTGCGCGCGCTTGATTTTAAGAACATAAGAATTAACAGTACATACTTTCTAAGTTCTGCAGTTAGGTACTTTTATAGAATGTATCACTTGATAGAATCCTGGCACAATTTTGGAATCCTTGATGATTAAATCTTGTTCTGAAATGATCTTTTGATTCCTCTCCGTTGCTACACACAAAGGGCAAATTTGCTCTAACTTATTGGAATCCTTTGTATTTTGGATCACTATCATTTGAGGTAACATGTTGTAAATAGGTTGATGCCCACATTAAGGTGGCCAAGGTGCATGAGTATAATTTGGACCTTCAGGTCTTGTTTTGATGATTGATGCTTTTGTGTTCTCAACTGTGTGTTCATGCAAATTGCGCCTTTCTAAGATAATAGCACGAAGTATCATCAGAATTGTACTTTGTAATCAACATTTAATTAGTGCTTTATATGGGTCTATTCGGCAAAATTAGATGTTTTGGTAGCTACTAACTATTTTAGCTGTTTGAGTAACTTTTTATAAAACGCTAAAAGTTAAATGTTATATAAATTAACTTTTTATAAAACACTATTTTAACTTTTAAAAGTTAATTCAAACGTTATATTACCGAACATCATTTTGAGCTATTTAAAAAGTTGTTGCCCTAAAAAACCTTACTACCTCTTAAATAAGCTCACATAATATTGTTTTTGTATTTTGTATTGCAGATGTTTAAATTCCTCCCAAGATTATCTCCGAAGGTGGCAAACATATTCCGTGAGATGAAGCGGCACTAGTGGGATTCTTTTGTTAATTGGTTTTGCTGTCACAGAAAATACCAGCAAGATAGGTGTTACTGCATTTTTTCCCTACTCAATTTTTTCCTTTCTCTCTCTTCTTCATCTGTATAGAGGCGTATATCTGGTGTTGTATGCATTAAAGAAAATGAAATATGGTTTTATAAACGTCAAGGACAAAATGGAGGTCTTAGGCTAGGCCATTGATTGATTTGGTCAGGAGTTTATATTTATATGGTTATTCAAATAACTTTCTTTCACCTGAAATTATCAGGATTTGGTAGCAATAAAATCTAGATTTTTTTTTTTTAACTTTGTTAATCTTTTCTTTGTTGATGATTACATGTAGAATTAAGTACCGAGCTAAGCCGAGCCGAGCCGATCGATGATTTTATCTATTCGTTCTATTATTATGCCAATTGTCTGAAAAATTACCTTGATGAATAGTTTTCTATGATGTTTTGTATGGTCAGAGATCTTGACCATAATAATCAAATTGATGTTTCTAGTCTCAAGTTGTAATTTCCATTTCTTTTTTTCATGCATTCAGACTCCAAATTCGGGTGAGCATTTTGGTTCGGTTTAGGGTGAAAAATTAAATCGATTCAGTTTGATCAATTTGCTTTGCTATTTTTGACGGTTCGAGCTTTTTTGGTTTGAGCTTTTTTATTTCGCTCTCTTTTTCTAAACCGATCGAATTTTGGGTTGAACTAATTAAACCGATCGAATCGAACCAATTTGATTCATTTCAATTGTAATAAATGGTAATCTATCCTAAATTTAGAGCTCATTTAGGAAAAAAAATCCTAGAAATATAGAAAAGTTTCAGGTCTTTCCAAATAAAATAACTCTTAATAAAAATTATTTTTAAATAGGACTTTATGCTTCCTGCTGAAGAAACACTCAAAACTTGCTTAAATAATAATTCTTTTAACGTAAAAACAAAGATAAAATAAAAAAGAAAATTTTGTTGAAGTAACGTTCCTATACACTACAGTACCAAAGTACCAAAAAGAATGTCATCGGCTATTCTATTTAGGCATAGAATATTACATATGTTTTTTTTTTAAACTAAAATTATATATTTTCTCATTTTACTTATCTTTCTTCTATTTAATATAAAGTAACGTTCCTATACACTACAGTACCAAAAATACCAAAAAGAAATGTCATCGGCTATTCTATTTACGGCATAGAATATTAACATATGTTTTTTTTTTAACTAAAAATTATATATTTTCTCATTTTACTTATCTTTTTCTTAATTAATAATATATATATATATATAAATATATATATATATATTATACTATATATATATATATTATATATATTTTTTTTTTTTTTTAAATTTAAAATTTAAAATTTTTTTATCTTCTTTCCTAATTAGAGATTTTTTTATCTCTTTCCTAATTATAAATATTTTAAACTAAAATCAACTATTGATATAAATTTTTTTAAATTACAGTGAAATATTATATAAATTTTTACATTTAATTTTTTTAATTTTTCTTTATCTCTTTTAATTAAAATATTTTAAATTCTAATAAAAATATTATATATATTTTTAAATTAAAAATTTTATTGACCAGTTAAAATGTTGTGAATTTTATTTTTTTATCCCTATCCAAATTAGAATCTTTAAATTATAATCAAATATTACAATCATATATTATATTTTGTAAAATAAATATTTTTTTAATTGCTATTTAGAATATCTTAAATTACAATGAAAAACTATATATATTTCTTAAATTTAATTTTTTTAATATTTTTTGTTTTTCCTTATCTATCTGCTAATTAAAATCTTAATTAAAATATTACTTATATTTTTTAAATTGAAATTTTTTAATTAATCATGTCTAATGATATATTATAATATTAAAAATCTGACTAAAAATATTTCAGAAAACTGCATTATTTCTCCTCATTTGGTATAAAAATTTTAGATTTTAGAGCATTTAGTAAAAAAAATAAAGATAAGTTAAATATTTTATATAATTACATAAAAAATTAACTAAAAATTACAAAATAAATATTATTTTAATAAAGTAACTAAAATTGAAAAAAAATAAAAGAAGTTTTATCATGTTCATGTATTATCAATCAAGTTTGGAAGGAAGACATCAAACTGAAAACAAGCGGAGACAGCCGGTGGCACAACCGAGATGAGAGCGTGAAGGTACTCGCCGCCATATGCGTGTGGCCGTACTATTTCGCACGTACAGAAAAGGAAACGTAAAAAGGAAAAGAAAATCTATGCAAAGTGTCATCACTTGGCGCATGACCAACAAATTGCATAAAAACTGTATATAACAGTAGCCAAACAGCTGATTCCAGACCTGAGTTCTTACTCCTTAATCTTTCATCACTTAGGGCTTTCAAATTCTGGAGCTTAAGTTTAAAGGTACTTTAACTATGTCTATCTCTGTTTTTTACAATTTTTGATTTTGATGAGTAAGTTCTACATTTCTCTGTTATTTGGTTTATTCTATAGGTATGTGAATTTGGGACAAGGGTTTTCTTTTATTTTCACAAAAAAGAAAAAATTAAATTTTCAGTCCATTTTGAGTAAATTTGATTCTGAAAACCAGCAGCTTGATCATCACTCGGGTATGTAACTGCATAAGGAACAACTGACTGTGCTTTTGCTATGGAGTTGAAGGTCTGGTATCTGTCCTTTTTATTTCCCAAAACTTTGTTATTGTTGCTGTTTTTTCATTTTTAACTAAGGGTTTTGTTCAAATGATTCATTTCACCCTTACTCCTTGAAAGCAAAGAAGTTTTGGAGCTTAATCCTTCAGTTTATAGCTGTCTCATTGTGTAGCTCAAGTCCATTCTGAGACGTACAAAAAGATCATAAAGTGTCATGCTTTTTGCAAGTATATTAAATTCTTTATTATTATTATTAATTTAGGTCATTTTATGACACAAAAAACAAAATATAATTTTTCCTCCTGAGTTCAAACTAATTAAAAAGTATCTTAACAAAAACCTCACCTCTCCAACAAGTATATATGGAAACGGTACTAATGAAAATATGATGGTTGATAATGGTAAAGGTGAGGGAAAAATTTTTGGTGGTGGTTATAATCGCGATGTGGTCTTGTATGTGCATTTTGATGGTAAAGGTGATCGTGTAATAGTGCTGGTTATAATGATAGAACTAGTGGAAGTATAGCAACAATAATAGTGATGACAACAACACGGTAACCTTGGATGGTAGCATTCAATGGTCCTAAGGAATCCCATAACTTTTTTCTTGGCAAATGAAGTGTTTATATATATATATATATATATATTGGTCCTAAGGGAAATCCCATACAACTTTTTTCTTGGCAAATGAAGTGTTTAATATATATATTATATATATATATATATATATATTATTTGAAGAACTTCTTCATTGTAGTGTATATTGTTAATAATGTGTAAATGATATAAAAACCATGTTTCTTTATTATTCTGCCTTTTTCATTATTTATTATAGCCTAATGACATTAAATGTTTTAATTTTTTTCTTTGCTGTGTTATCATTTTGGATGATTATGATAATCTATGTCTCAAATACACTGAATTTAAATCATGTAATATAAATTTTTCTTAGCATATAGGGAAAAATTTAGTGTTAAAATGGTCCTTAGATGGCTGACTTTATTATGTATCCTTGGTAACAAAAAGAAGTAATGGGAATATATAGAATACTAGACTATAGTTATATATAGTATATAAATATATATTATATAGTATATAATTATATATACTATATATATTATTATGATTTAACTAATGCTAGCTTTGCTGATCATATTTAGATTTATTTATCAGTTTGTTCATTGTTATATCTTCTAGTCTCTCTCTGTGCAAACCCACAACATGCAACCCCTCGCTTTGAATTGGTCAATTATTTAATCTTGATTGATATTCAAAACATATATATATTATTATGACTTAACTAATGTAGCTTTCTGATTCATATTTAGGATTTATATAGTTTGTTCACTTGTTTATTTCTAGTCTCTCTCTGTGCAAACCCACACACATGCAACTCGCTTGAATTGTCATTATTTAATTGATTGATATTCAAAACATATGATGATTCGCTTATCGTTTATTTTGACCAAATAGGGGCAATAAGATTTAATTTACTTTTGTGAATGTGCGTTAAGAGTTTCTTCCTCTCTTGATTGATTGTGTATATAATTGTACATTTTGTATGAATTTGCAGTCAAAGCACCTGACTCGGTCTTGACTTAGCATTTGCTTTTCTAGCATTTGTTGTTTCTTCAAATGTAGAATAATGACTAGTGCTGAATCCTTCATCAATGTTCATGATCATGGCACTGCTGTAGATAAGAAAAAGGTTAGAGTTCAATGCAACTATTGCGGTAAAGTGGTCAGTGGATTCTTTCGTCTCAAATGCCACTTAGGAGGTGTAGGGAAAGATGTTATCCATTGTGAAAAAGTTCCTGAAAATGTGAAGACACTATTTAGAAATATGTTAGAAGAAAACAAAAAAGTGAGTCTTACAAAGGAAGTTGGAAAACTATCTCAGCCATATCTCCCATCAAAGAGAAATTTGTCTCCTGCTTTGGATTGCTTCAAGCATATCAAGCATGAAGCTAGTCAAACTGCTAGTTGTGGGAGCAGAAACCAGGCAGAGATTGATTCTGTGGTAGAAGATTCTGTAACAGAACATCATCTGATTCATAACAGAAAAATTGATTCAAACTCAGCCATAGACGGTGAAGAAAAAGAAGATGCATTGTCAAGGCAGATTAAAAAATGCATTGGCAGATTTTTCTACGAAACGGGTATTGATTTCAGTGCTGCCAATTATCCTAGCTTCAGAAGAATGCTTAATGCAACTCTTGGCAATGGCCAGGTGAAAATTCCTACTCTTCAGGAGTTGAAAGGGTGGATTCTCTGGGATGAAGTGAAAGATATGCGACATTATGCGAATAACATTAGACATTCATGGACCAGCACTGGATGCAGTGTTCTGTTGGATGGATGGGTCAATGAGAAGGGTCAACATCTAGTTAATTTTGTGGTGGAATGTCCTGAGGGTCCAATTTATCTTCGTTCAGATGATGTTTCAGCTATCATCAATGATATAGATGCTCTGCAATCATTACTTGATGGAGTTATCGAGGAGGTAGGGATTAACAATGTAGTTCAAATTGTAGCATGTTCGACAACAGGCTGGGTGGGAGATGTTGGCATGCAGTTTATGGTTAAACGTAGGACAGTTTTCTGGAGTGTTAGTGTATCCTATTGTATCAAGCTCATGCTAGAGAAGATAGCAACATTAGATTGCATTCAAGGGACACTAGACAAGGCTGGGATCATTACAAAGTTTATTCATGGACATGGGGAACTTTTGAAGCTTATGAAAAATCATACCCATGGCTGTGACTTAATAAAGCCATCCAAGATGAAATTTGCTGTGCCTTTCTTGACCTTAGAGAATATCGTTTCAGAAAAGAAGAACTTGAAGGACATGTTTACTTCATCTGAGTGGTTGACCTCAGCCTGGGCTTCCAGTCCGAAGGGAAAGAGAGTGGTTAGTCTGATGGAGGATCTCTCTTTCTGGACTGGAGCTGAGATGACCTTGAAGGCAACTATACCGCTGCTACGTGTTCTCAACTTGATTACTGAGACTAATAAACCGCAAGTGGGTTACATATATGAAACAATGGATCAAGCAAAAGAGACAATTAAAGGGGAATTTAAAAACAAGAAATCACAATATATGCCTTTCTGGCAAGTAATTGATGAGATCTGGGACAACCATCTCCATAGCCCTTTACATGCTGCTGGCTATTATTTAAATCCGAGTCTGTTTTATTCGACTGATTTCTACAGTGATCCTGAAGTTGCTTTTGGCCTGTTATGTTGTATTGTTCGTATGGTACAAGATCAGCACACGCAAGATCTAATATCTTCACAGCTTGATGAGTATAGACATGCTAGAGGTGCATTCAAAGATGGGAGTGCCATTGACAAAAGAATCAATGTCTCTCCAGGTAAGCCTGATCTAGTTTTTTCTTTTCTTTTCTTTTCTTTTTTTTTTTTTTTTGAACGCTTGCGGTTAGTTTCTTCTTGGTGGTGTAATCGTGATAAAGAGAAAAATAATTTTGAAATTAAATCCTGTAAGTCTGAATGCAGTACAGTGGTGGTCTACTTATGGGAAACAATATCCGGAGCTGCAAAAATTTGCTGTGAGAATCCTAAGCCAGACTTGTGAGGGTGCTTCGAGATATGGGCTGAAGAGGAGTTTGGCTGAAATGCTTCCTAGGAATGGATCGAATTGTATTGAGCATAAAGAGTTAAATGATTTGACCTATCTTCACTATAACATGCACTTGCAGAACACACAATTCGGCATTGAAAGTGATCTTGATGCTGAGGAGATTTATCTGATAGATGATTGGATTGTAGACGAAACGCTGGAGACTGCGCCCAGCAATGGGGGCTAAGAGCAAACGGGAGGTAGGCGGCAATGAAGCCACTGTCAAATGTTAATGCAGAAGAATCATGTAAAATCAAGCGAAAGGAGGATCCTAGCTTACATGTATAGATGCAAATCTGTTTTTTGAAATTGCAGTTCAAACATTTGTAACTTGAGTTTTTTAACCATTTTGCGTTTATATTTTTGTCAGCTGGTGATAGTTACCAATTTTGAAATCTGCATCTCTTTCTTGATAATGAGACTAATCATGGACATGGAGGTGATCATAGCGATATAGAAATCCAATTATGGGAAGGTGTTCATCTTGCTGGGTAGTGCTATTTCTATTGTGTGACTAGAAGGCTAGCAAATATACCAAATAGCTTCACTTCTTCTGCAATTGAAAATAATTTGTGTTACAACTTGTTTGATTCACAGCCTTTTATAGCAAGCCCATGATATAAATTCTTCAGACTTTTCACTTTTCAGGGCCTCACAAGTCCAAGTTTTAGAGCTATTGTTTGACATTTTGGACACTGGAATTACACATTGATGGCCTCAACTTTGTAGATACTTTTTTAGAAGAAATCAAACTACAAATTTCAACATTATATTTTCAATTGCGTATAATATCATATTTTGCCTTTTAGATCAACAATGATGTATCATAAATTCTTCTATCACTCTCTCTTGCTCCTCGTCCCCTTTAGCTTTAAGGAATCTTGCTTCCAATGGAAAAATCTGTCCCAAATTTTCAATACCAATCACACCAGACCATGCATATATTCATAATGAACAAAAGAACTGATAATTAGTTTACCTTTTATGGGTTTCTTTATACTGTTATTATCCTTGGATAATTCAGAAGACCATCTGCTTTGTAGTTTCGTTGCCATTGATGACCTGATCCACTTGCATTATCCCCCAGTTGCCCACTTGGGAGGCTATTATTGACCAGATTAATATTAGAATATAAGAAACTTCCTCTGAGCCTAATCTTAATCCCCAATAATTACTCTCCGCCACCTCTAATTTGTATCTTTTGTCAGGACAATGCATGTTTTTTTTTTGTTTTTTCTTGTTCCAACAACTCAAGGGGACTTTCTGTTGAATTTTTTAAAAAATGAGAACAGCCAAACCAAGAGGTAGTTGGATCAGCAGTGGCGGATTCTTGAATACTAACCCAGTCCGAGCGTGGAAACACATGTAGAACAAAGGGCAAAAAAAAAAAAAAAAAAAAAAATGCAGAAACTATCCAAACAAGAGGTAGTTGGATCAGCAGTGGCGGATTATCTTGAATACTAACCCTAGTCCGGCGTGGAAACACACTGTAGAACAAAGTGGCAAATAAAAAAAAAAAAAAAAAAAGCTTTATCGCAAGAAGATGCGTCAACGTAAAGTGTCCTGTGAAAAACTTATAGTAATTAAAAAACTATCCACTGATTCTCAGAATTTGCTAATGGCTGGTGGAATGTTGTGAAATCTCAAGATTTGCCCTGCCAATGCGCATTGCTTGTTAGAAGCGCATCAGCCAAGACACTCTCTGAAATTTCCAATACAAACTTTTTCCATTTTCAAGTATCAAGCGTTCTTACATTTCATAGGCTTTCCATAGTTAAAAAAAAAAAAAAAAAAAAAAAAGTTTACGCAAGAAATGGTCAAGTAAAGTGTCCTGTGAACTTATAGAATAAAAACTATCCAACTGATCTCAGAATTTGTAATGGCTGGTGGAAGTTTGAAATCAAGATTGCCCTGCCAATGGCATGTGTTAGAAGGCGCATCAGCAAACAGGTCTCTGAAATTTCCAATACAACTTTCCATTTTCAAGTATCAAGGTCTTACATTTCATAGGCTTTCCATAGTTTCTAATAAAATTAATTTATTTTTCTGATAAAAAAAAAAAAATACAAGTTGGTATCATATAGAGTTTTAGAAATATATTTGTAATTCAATTTATAATGGACAGAACAATGGAACCTGGCTTGCGGGCAGATGGTACCTATTGCTAGTACTAATGATGAACATCTTACTCTTGGAAAGTTCTTTCAATTTTCTAGGCATATACAACATATTTTAGAAAGTTAATTTTGATTTGAATGTCAAGTGTTTAAGAAAGATTTAATTGTGTTGAAGCATTATCCTCTAATGTATTTGTCTTCAAGAATCAGGTTTAGGTAGGTTCTGGTTCTGGTTTCCAGGGATCTATCAAAATGCAGGCTGATGAAATTGGACTACAAGATTGTACAAAGATTTGGAAACACAATCTCAAACACAACATAAAGTAGATTCACCGGAGATCGATTCGAGCAAAAGTCTTTCCATTGTGCTGATTTTGCAGTTTGTACTCTGGTCTAAGTAGAGGAGATGAAGTAATTTTTGTTAGGGAAAATTTGGCTCCGACTGGGTTCAAACTCGAGATCTCACAGCTCTAAAGATGACTCCGAAATGTTCATCGGTAAACCATAAGCTCTTAATATAGTTATTTAGCACAAATTCAACTCGCTTTTAATAAAATAATAATAAAAAAAAAGATTCAGAAACAATGTCACAAATCTAACAGATGACACAAGCAAGGCAACATTTTATTAGCACACTATAGTTACAACCCATTCAAGCATAATTTGATTAATTTCATCACAAAATCAAGTGGATCAAAGCAAGAAAGCACAACAACATATGAAAAAAGAAACAAGTGAATAAGCAACAGTCATTCGTCAAGCAGATTGTGCAGCCTCATGACGAGCTTTAATGGCAGCAACATGTTCATCTTCAATTGGCAGGTAATCAGTGAAGAGACTAACTTCAAACAGAAATCCTAACCACATCCCTAGAGATCGGAATTTCTCTATAGGGATCAACTCCACTTCAAGAGCTTTTCCAATCATTGTAAACTCATAGGCTATACCAAATGCCACAACATCAACTAGTCCAATCTCACCAACTCCAAAGAATGCATATGACTCTCCTTGAACTTGCAGCAGATCGTCAAGACGATCAAGATGCTGATAAACTTCTTCAATCACCTTCTCTTGCTCTTCCTTCCCTTTAGCTTCAATAACCTTTGTACCCAATGGGTAGACCTGTGATCATAATTTGCAATACCAATTAGACCAGAATGATGCTCAAAAACTTACAAGAAGAAGGTAAAACAGATTTCTCTTTACCTTTTCAACCACATATTTAGCCCAGAAGCGAGCTTTAGCTCTGGCATAAGGATCTTTAGGCAAGAGGGGACTGTCTGTCCAGGTTTCATCAATGTACTCAATTATGACAAGCAATTCTTCAATCGGTTTTCCGTTGTGTATTAGCACAGGAGTTTTCTTAAAAACTGGATCGTACTTGGCAATCTGACTATCATCAGAGAGGTCTTCTTCTATGTACTGAAATGTTGGCTCTTTGATCCTCAGGGCTACTTGTACTGTGACAGTATAAGGACTATCCCACTTACGAAATAGCTTTACTGGAACGTCTTGTTCTTCTGCCATTTCTGGGGTTCTGCAATAGAAAAGTAATTGCTGTGTAAATCGAGCTATATATTATTCTCAGCAATTTAACAGCTTTTTATAGGAAAAGAAAGGCAATGGGGTTTTCTTGATATACTATTAATAATTATTATTCCTGAAAATTCAGAAACATGGGCGGCTTGGCCTCTGGGTTTCTTGATATGTCGTATAATAGTTTCAGAGCTGATCCGCTTGCGCGTTTCCCACTTGGCCAGTTGGATGTCATCATTTCATGGACTAGATCAAATTTCAAAGACGGCAAATTGCTCTTGTGAGCCAATCTCTGGAATAATTATATGCGATGAACTGTGTTAGCATTTCAAATTAAAAAAGAAGAGAAGATGAGGATAAGATATAATATATGCATATATTTGCTGCATGGAATATGCATATAATGTCATTCGTTTGGTAAATCACTATTTACAAAGGCAAGAAAAAGACTTAATTACACTCAGGTACATCAACCATCAACCGTGGATGTATCAAAACAGTCAAAAATAATATTTTATGGGGGTGTACTTGTCAAAGTTTATCTCCATTTTGGGTTGACAATATATTGTTAAAGCTTTTGCATGGGTATATGTACTGCTTAACAAGGCCTTATAAGCCTTGTAAGTGAGCTTTTATATGTATTGTGTGTACAATATATGATATGAATGCGATGCATGCAAGTTTAACAAACACAACCTATTGACGAAATTTTTATTATTCTAATCCGAATATTAGCTGTCTTGATTAACAAATATGCATTCTTTACTCGGCATCAAAGCAATAATTTTACTATTTTAATATCTTTTAGGCTCATAGCACGTTGTCTTCCAAAAATAATGAATCTGTCTCCCTCACCTACCATTAACAATCATTAAATTATAAACTCGTTTCTCATATAAAATCGACTACAAAAAAGAAAAAATTATATTTTTATAAAAAAGCTTAATATATAAATTTCATCATTTATCTTCAATCATTATTTAAGTCACATTTCAACAATAATTATACTCGAAAATTTGAAAATATAAATGTCTCTCGTAGTTAAGTGTTGTGTTGGGTCATAATTGATCGCCGAGAAAAGGGTCACAAGAAACCAAAGTTTAATCTCAAATTTATGTGTTAGGCCTATTAAAAATAAAGTATTAATAAAAATTTATTAATAAAGGCAATCTCAATCCAAATACAGACACTAATACTTCAAATGTAGGATACTGGAAATTCAAGTTGCTAGATGAAATGAGTCAAATAACAAACATTATTTCAAGAAAAAGAAAAAAAAAAAACCCTATAATCAAACAGGAGCAAGAGTCTCAATATATTGGTAAGCATCAAGCCATCCAAATAGCAATGAATCTTTAATTCTACTACTCCCATTATTGCCAAACTCAAAAACTTTCTTCAACGTTTTGTCTTTGAAACTATAAGAAATGACCTTACTTGGTATGTGTAGCAATAGTGATGACTCTTCTTCTTTCTCTTCTTCAACTACACACAGCACAACAAAAGCATAGTAATTTGAACCAGGGTCAAGATATGCCCTGACCATCTCAGGAAATTCAGTTCTAGCATTATCCAAATCCACTTGGTATCTAACGCACCAACTAGAATAATCCCTCTTCAACTCAAAAACTCTAAATTTCAAACAACCAGAACCATATATTTCAATAAGATGCAAATGGCCACCAGACTCTCCAATGTACCTGAATCTCCTCTTGGCCCAGCTACTTGGGGAAGGAAGATATGGTATTGCTTCAATTAACTCCTTATCTACATCAAAGTACAAGCCTCTTCCTGTAGGACTAATCCAATGAACGGCGCCGTTCCAGAAAACCGCATTGTCAAAAACCAAATCAAATGGAGCAACGAAAGGCGATCCGGAAAGTCTCCACGCGCCAATTTCAGAATCGTATAGTTCGATTTGGTAATGGTAGAGAGAGAATTCCGTAGAACGAACACAAATAATTTTATAATTGCAGGATTTGGAAGGATCGAAAGCTAAATTGAATCCGAATATGGTTACTGATGGTGAATCGGTTCCGAGAGGTGGAAGAGCAGAGAGTTGTTTGGTCGTAGGGTTAGAAACGTAATACTTTCGTTTAGTGCCAACCTGAGGCAAAGTAGAACAGAGAAGAAGGCCATTGCAAGACTGGATGATTTTGAGCCCGTTAAGGAAATGGAGGGAGAGAAGAGAGGAACCGGAAACGGAATCGGAATTGAAAGAGAGCAATTTGAATTCTGAAGGAGACTTACGCAAGATGAGACCGGACACCGCCGGTTTTGGGCTGCGGCGGAGAGTGTGGGCGGCAGAGAATTGAGGAGAGGAAATGAGAGAGAGCCAGTATTTGGATACGGATTTGAAACGGAGAAGAGGCTTTACTGGTAAGCGAACGAGAATTTGAGTGAGGAGATCTTGGTTGGTCGATATGATTTCCGCAGAGGAATTGGAAATTTTCGTATCTTGCATTTTGTTTTCAAGGACTGTAATCATTAGCATTTACGCGCAAGCCGGACAAAACAGAGGAGGAAGCTCCATCTCCAACGTGTCTAATGTGTTTGAATTTCCATGACTGATTTTTGATTATTGGCTAACAAGTTTCAAATAATGATTTTTTTTTTTGGTAAATAAAAAAAAATTCATGGATTGGCGAATCTGATTCCAATAATGATTGAGCACACTCCAGGCGGCTGCCCACAGCAAAATGCTGGAAGCATGGAACAAAAAAAATTAAAAATATATATAATTATTAAGTTTTATTATCTGAAGAAAACTAATAAATAAATTTTATAATATTAGAAGCTAAATAATTTATTTTTTAAATATTTGGGACTATTGTGTTAACTTCAAAACAATAGACGCTAATTTCCTAATTATGTTAAAGCTCAGGGGTCTTATAGCAATTTAACCTAAAATATGTAATCAGTGGGATTAGTTCCTTCTGTTCATGATCATCTGTTAACGCCCAACGGATTCTCTCTCTTCTCAACTTGTTTTCTTTCTTATCGAGGAGAACGAAGCAGCAGGGAGAGAACCTACGAAATACGAAGAGACGTTCGAACGATTGTGACCATACGATCCAAAGCATATATTATCCTTCGGTTACAATCTAACGGCTCTGTTTTTATGACTCTCTTTACCATCGCTGTAAGTAACATTCCTTTTCCAATTTCTGGTTTTTCTTAGGTGTGGATCTCGTATTCTCTTTCCTTAGTCGGATCAGGTTTATGATCTTTTCGTTGAATTGATATCAATCTTGTTTGGATGCTAGGAAAATGAAGGAAAAGAGAGAACTTGGATTTTGAACTTATTGTATTTTATGCATTCTTTGTGGTTTATTTTTTATTTTGGAGGAAAATTGGGTGAGAGCTAATGTGAGGATTCTTTTAATGGTATTTGTTGAAAAAAACTGTTAATTTATGTGGAGATTAAGGATTTTTTCTTTTTTTAACAAATAGCTATCATTTCCATATTTGCTGCAGATCTTAGATCTTGAAGTGTAATCTTGGAATTTTTTATAGTTTAAGAAAATGTGGTAATGTCTTTTCTAGCTTAAATGCTACGTCTGTTTAGTTAATAGGAGGTTCCCATTTTTAGAAAATGTTTTCCTTTCATGGTTTGATCAGTATTATCATTCAGTATTTTACTATAAACCAGCTTGATTCATGTTTTTCAAGGTTTACACTTGTTAATTTATTTCTTTGATTGAAATATTGAACTTCTTTGTTTTTGCAGGTTATGGGGCCATCTGTGGGAATATAGAATAAAGTAACTCCCAAGTGCTAGTTGGAAATCAGATTATCTTGGTTCGAGTGAAGAGATCATGGTTTTGCTTTTATAGATATAAATAGGTTAGCTTTTACTCCTTGTTGAAGGACATTTTTTTTTGTACAAACTGCAATGTGACTTTTTGTATCATATCTTGCTGGTATTCTAATTATATCTCAAGTTTAATCTAATGAGTTAAATATCTGGTGATTGGAAAAGTTTTAGATTTCATTTAATGATATGATTCATGCCCATGGATTCAAATTGTGAAGCTCGAATTAGCATGTTATATGAGTGAGTTTTAACCAAAATAGGCAGTTGGTGAGCATTCGCAGTGGAGGGGACTGCATGGATATTAGATAGGAAGTATCCATTAGATAAATATGTGTTACTTTTTCCTTTTTGATGTAAAACATAATAATTTAATTTCTAAAATGCTGCATTTTCCATTTTGTTGTAACACATGATATTTGCATTTCCAAATGTTTCTTTTTCCCTTTTTTTTCCCATTTTTACTACCCGTTTCAAATAATCATTTCTTGATGATAAACCAAGTTTTATTATCTTGTTCATTTGTGTTTGCTTGGTGGTTTTTGCTACGTTAGAGAGGTGGTTGAGATCTATCCAGATGCAGTCACATACTGGAAATGCTTCCCTTACGGTGAAAAAGGAACCAAATGACTACACTGGTTCAAGTTTTGCTGGTCATCAAGATAGCAATATTCAGGAGCCTATAGAAGTTTCTTCATCGTCTGGGGAAAACGACTCTCATGAAACAGAGGATACAGATGAGCAGTCTCTTGAAAATTCCTCAAAGCAGTTGGTACTTTATGATCCTGCTGCTAATGGTACTGGTGAAATAGAACCTCTGCCTAAACCAATCCGGTTCCGGCCTCCTCGGTTTGGAAGACGCTCAGGTTTTAAAATGCCTTCTAGAGTTTTGCCATCTGTAGGGGCATTTACTGTCCAGTGTGCCAACTGTTTTAAATGGAGGCTCATTCCATCAAAGGAAAAGTATGAAGAAATACGTGAACATATTCTAGAGCAGCCTTTTTATTGTGAAACAGCTCGTGAATGGCGGCCTGATATATCATGTGATGATCCACCTGATATTTCTCAAGATGGAAGCCGGCTATGGGCAATTGATAAACCTAATATTGCTCAGCCCCCTCGTGGCTGGCAACGACTGTTACGAATTAGAGGTGAAGGAAGTACCAAATTTGCAGACGTGTATGTGTCTATTCCTTTCTATTCAATTTTGCAGCTTTACTGTTGTTTGCTCTTTTTTTTTTTTTTTTTTTTTGATATATACATGTAGATGATCCACCTGGATATTTCTCAAGATTGGAAGGCCGGCTATGGGCAAAATTGATAAACCTAATTATTGCTTCAGCCCCTCGTGGCATGCAGACGGACTGTTACGAATTGAGGTGAAGGAAGTACCAAATTTTGCAGACGTGTATGTTTGTCTATTCCTTTTCTATTCAAATTTTGCAGCTTTACTGTTGTTTGCTCTTTTTTTTTTTTTTTTTTTTGCTCCATATAGTAATTTTATCTTTTTTTTTTTTTTTTTTTGTCCAAGTAATTTTACACTTTTTTGACTTGTTTAATTCTTAGCAAATGAGTAAACTAAACAACTGCCTCAAAGCCTTATAATAGACAGGGATCTGTAAAGCTTCTTTACTATACAAGGGCCTTTACAAAGACTACCGCTGATATCCCATGTGTATTCATGTTATGTAGGAATGTACCCCTTGGATCTCAACATGGTGTTAAAATGAAAGAACTCAGTCAGCTTGGGAAAACTTGAACTTTTAGGAGATTAGGCCAGGACCTCTACGATATTCAGACATATTGAATTAGGGCTTAAATTTACCTTGGTAGATCTGATTTTCTTTAAAAATAGAGGAAAATTAAACATAGGAAAAGGAGCTATTAGAATCACACTAATAGGATCTAAGACTGACTCCTATCAAGAAAGCATCACACTTCCTAGGGTTAGAATTGGATCACACCTCAAAAATAAAAGCATAAATACACTTCCTGGGGTTAGAATTAGATCACACAACTCAAAAATAAAAGCATTAATTACCAAAAGTTTATTGACTGAAATCTAATAATAAAAGCATTGCAAGCATGGGTCTTTAACCCAAACTAATCCTAGAACTTAAATGTAGTGGAATTCCAAAAATAGTCCTAAATTATTTAAGGAGTTAAGACTGCTAAAGAAAGCTAAGAGGAATACTATTATCCTAAACCAACCAGGATTCTAAAGTAAGACCCAAAGTAAATAGTATAAATATTCCTAAATAAGTAGGGACAGATTTCTAACAAACCTTATTTTGTGCGTTATTTATTAGTCTGATCTTGTAATGCTTGTCTAGTCCTTGATTGGATTTCTTTGCTGTAAAATATGCTTCTGACATTCTGTTTATGTTTTCATTTCCTGCCTAGTGTTGTTTATTTTAGAGTTCAAAATTCTGAATATTGATGGGAGTTTTGTCTTTGTCTAACTCTGAAAAGGCATGTCTAATTTTGTTGCTGCTCTCTGAAGACCAAAAACTTAAGTAGTTTCCTGCTTCTGTAATGTACTTTTGAGCTTTAGAGTATTTAAGTTGTGAGTTTGTGTTTTTACTTTTGTGATTTGTTTTGATATATTAAGGCTCTGGGTCATATTATAGTTTCTTTGAGCTTGACCTTGTCTATGCTAGTCCATTATAAGGATATTCAATCTGTCCATCATCAAGTTTTTTGCCTGTTTTAAATATTTTCAGGTACTATGAATCACCATCAGGCAAGAGACTTCGCTCCATGGTAGAGGTCCAAAAGTATGTTACATAACCGTCCTTTTATTGCAATATCGAATGCATTTTCTTTGCCATATCTTTTAGTTCTTCCACTCTGATTTTGTAGGTACTTGATGGAACATCCCGAGTATTTGCAAGATGGTGTAACTCTTTCACAATTTTCATTTCAAATCCCAAAACCTTTGCAGGAAAACTATGTGAGAAAGCGCCCTCGTCTAGCATCTTCATGTGATGATACTAGACCTCTTGAGCCTAGTGAAGGTATGCACAACAATCTGATTGACTTTGTTGACATAAATTGAAGAGATATTTGCTCTAGTAGGAAAGAGAGAGAGAAGGGGGGGGGGTGTATGACATTAAATTGAGAAGTATTTGCTCTAGTAGAAATAGTAGAGAGAAGGGGTGGGGGGGGGATTGAGCAGCTATTTATTAAAGGTTGAGTCGGGGGGGGGGGGGGGGTTATTGAGCAGCAGTTTATAAAGTTGAGTCTAAAATTGGCAGTTATACACAGCATTTTGATTTTTCATTTTATGGTATTTGGGAAATCGTCACATAGTAACTGCTAATGCCCAACAACAAAAGAAAAAGGAAGAAACCAAGTGGAGAGGGAAGAGTTTTCTTAACAACTCTAGGAAAAGGGATACTCGAGTCCTGTTTATAGTCCGCCTGCTCTGGCAAAGTAATACGATTTGTTATTAGAATCAGTCCATTAACTACCATTTCACATATAAGCTCCTTAAGGCAGTAGCACGGTACGGGGATCAGTCCCTTGTTCCCAGTGCTTAGTGTGAAATGACTGAATGCTTCCAGGTCGGAGCCAATAACTCAAGCTTGCAACTACTTTATAGTAAATCTTTAACCCTGCTTTAACTAACAATCAGAAGAGTTGGATTTGGTAGCGCCTTTTACTTTTTATATCACTGATTGGCACATTTTCTTGACAAGAATAACTAAAATATCATTTTTTGGGCACAGTGAATCCCCTTGCATGGATGGGTCCGAATGATTGTACAGATTTGCAGCTTGGTAGGCCAGCACTTCCGCCTCCGTCATCCTTTCAGGCCTCTCTTTCTGATCCATTTGATCGATCAGTAAAGAAACAAGCATGGAGAACACCTTCGTAACATATGTACAGCAAGAATATTATTACGCAATATCCTTTTTGGCAACTGCATTTTGTATTTTGCTCTCCGCTTTTGCTCCATTGGATTTTTTTTTTATTTTTTATCAAAGGCTCTCTGTTCCTTACCAGCCTTTGCATATTAAAGAGGGGAAATGGTGGGAAGGAAAGAATGCAATGGATATATGTTTAACAATTGCAAAATGTGAAAAAACAAAACCTATATCTGAGAAAATCCAATTTTATTAATTCATTTCGGACAGAGAAAAGTCAATTATCATGAATGATACACAAGAAATCCGATATAAAGCTTGTGGAATGAAGCAAAACAAGAAGAGCACTAGTTTGTGTTTTTTTTATTTTTTATTTTTACACATTGCATATGACTATGGAAGAGAGTTGAGGATCAGAAGCTCCATTAATAACAGCACCCTTGCTTATAACATCTAGCAAATAATCCAAAGCCCTTTCTGTAATAACCTCGCCTGGAATCATCACAGGTATCCCTGGAGGGTATGGACTTATAAGCTCACCACACGCCTTTCCAAGGCTCTCTCCAATTGATACTCTCCTTTTCTTAGCAAAAAATGCATCTCTCGGATTCAAGCTCATGCTAATATCAGTAAACGGTATATTCTCTCCATTCTTCACCTTTTCTTCTGTTCCAGTTTTTAAGGAACTTGCAGATAATTCTTCTAATCCTGACACTAACCTCTGAACATGCTCTTTACAAGTTCCTAGATTAATCGCAAGTGTAATAGATCGACTTTCTACAAGCTCAGGTACAATTCCATGATTCCTGTATAAAATATCACCTGCCTTACAACCGGATAAACCAAGCTGCCAGAACCCGACAGTAAGGCGCAATGGATCCTTTGCAGGAAATTTACAGAAGCTTGGTGGAAGCTCAAGCCAAGTAATACCTGGAATCTTTTTAATAAGTTCTTTAGATTCAATAGCTAACTTCATTGTTTCGTGGAAAATAGTTTCTGGGTTTTCACTGAGTTGAGCTCTAGCAGCATCTAATGAGGCTAAAAGTAAAGAACTGGGGCTTGTAGTTTGAAGAGTTTGAAGACACCGAGAAATTCTCTCCCTATCCACAATATTTCCTGACATGTGTAACATTGATGACTGTGTGAGAGAGGATAGAACTTTGTGAGTCGATTGTACCACAAGATCAGCATTTTGCTTCAGAGCCGAAAGGGGCAATTGGGGGTGAAATCCCAGGTGAGCTCCATGAGCCTCATCTGCAATTAAAGGAATTTTTCGACAATGACAAAGCTGTGAAATCTCATTTAAATTGCTGCATATGCCATTGTAAGTTGGAGAAGTGACAAAAACTGCAGCAGGTTTATGGCCTTCCATCTCCAACTCTTTAATGGCTTTTTCCACCTGAAAAAGACAAACTTTACCATGTTTATATAGCATTGAAAATGACATTAAAAAGAAATGCTAAAATGTTGCTTTTCTTTTACCATTTTTCTAAATGTCATAAAATTCTGAATGCACTTTTTGATAAATTGTTTTTTTAAATATCTACAACAAACAACTAATCCTTGGTCTCAAACTAATCAGGTGGGCTATATAAATCTTTTGTTTTCAATATATGCTCTGATCAAATTAATGTCAATACAGAGTAAAGCAAAGTATTAAGTCGGAAAAAATTTTTGTAGTGGAATTCTAAGATCATTTGATATATCAATAGATAGAACATTAATATAAAATAAGCAATAATAAATTCTACTATACGAATCTTTTATCTCATTTTGTTATGCTCATGACTATGTTCTCGTTAATATTCAAAGGCTATAGATCTTTTGCTATAATTTTAGGTTTACCACTTCGACAATTACAAGCCAAATATTCAAACATAGATCCTTTTTCTCTGCAAGCAGTTCTAGGTCGACCTCTTCCCTTTTTAGTATCCTCGAATAGAGTATCACATTTACAAACCAAATATTCAAAGATTATAGATCATTCGCTATAACTTTCCTGGAAGCAATTGTAGGACGACCTCTTTCCTTTTTAGCACCCTTCAGTATTAAAGTGTCACATTTACAGACCAGAGGCATGAAGGGATAGAAATGCAAATCTTCATTTTTTATGATAGTAGCCAATGTTGCAACTAAGAATATTCATATATTAATAGACTCACCTGTAATGGAGTAATCCCACCAGCAATGTCCCATTCAGAATCATACTCCGGTATAATGTATTTGGGTATTGCTCCTGATAATACCATAGCAGAAATGGCAGATACATGGCAATTGCGAGGGAGAATTATATGTTCTCCCGGAGAACAAGTTGCCATTATTGCTGCTTGGATCCCAGACGTTGTACCTCCAACGAGGAACCATGTTTCTAGCGACCCAAACAATTTGGCAGCTTGCTTTTGTGCCTCCACAATAGGTCCTTCAGGTGAAAAAAGCTTGTCAAGCACTTGAAGCCCAGTCAAATCATGAATAAATGGTTTTAAACCAATGAGCTGTGTTAATGAAACTGGTGCAGCTTGCCCTCTATTATGGCCAGGGAAGTGAAAAGTGGCTGCATTTTGTGCGGCTAAAGCTTTCAGTGCAGTAACCAATGGAGGAGACGTATCTGGCTGACTTACATGAAAATTGGAAATGAGAGAGTCATCTTTTCTGGACGATATGCTTTTTCCTTGGCTGCTTCTTTGTTGTTTCTTTTCTGGTTTCGAAGTGCTCCTTTCCTGCAAGATGTTTTCGAGAATTAACGGAGGTACAGTTGAAAAACTTTAGCTCCAAAACCGAAAATATCTCTACAAAAAACCATAATTTTCCATACATTTTTTCCAGTTTCATAGAGATGAATTCAATCGAAAATGTCAAAAACTTACAATTCTATTCTTGTTATTTATCTGGGTATATATTTCAATTTGAAAGCTAAAGATACCAACTTTTTTTTCTAATGAAAAGTGAAAAGAAGACAGTTAATTACAGGAGAAACAGAATCGGAAATCCCAGTTCTTTTTCTCAGAGATTTCAAAGTCCAGTTGCTGGGAAAAGCCAAGTGAAGATTCTGCAGAAGAAAATGATCATATAAAGTTGAATATTTAAAAGGAAACACGTTAGAGAGCAAGAGAGAGAGTTACAGTAGGGTGAAGAGAGGATAAAGAAGCACAACTCATTGTCTCCGCATGTAAGATTTGGCTCTGTTAGTTAGCAACACTTACTGGTTCTTTATACCACTTTCAAAATCTACCATATATGGAGTTTAATGAACAAAGTTATGATCAAAATATGCCAAAACAACATGTTATCATCAAGAAGTTGTTGGAAGAAAAAGAAGAGGTTCATGTGGATATAATTGGTTTATTGTTGCAGGACTTGACATAATACTATTAAAGAATGTTGATAATTCTTATTACAAAGAAAATGTGTCAACAACTCATTGTGTCTGAACTATCTTGGAGTGGGAAATACTTATCCACCAAATCAATAAAAATACGAACTTTTTAAAATCGTTACTGTTTTATCTTTTTTTTTTTTCGTCTTAGTATAATAAGAAATATTATCGTTTCAACAAAAATCTTTATTTTCATTATTTTGATCCATAGATGGAGCCATAAATCCGGTCTAAATAAATTAATCCCAACTATCTTTCACTTTCTTACACCATAAATCATGTGTGAAAACCCTTCATCAAATAACACAAATTTCTACTTATGGGATGTAATTCAGTTGACAATGCAGGCGGCATATAGGAAGAACTCTCGGGTTTGATCTCCACTAAAGACACCTGTAGGGAGGGGTAAAGAGTCTTAATTGTGACTAAGCCCGACTGTGGTTTAAAAAAAAAAACACACAATTTTCTTTATTCCATAACCTTTTTCAATATGGGTGTTGTTCACACAATGGTTAATCTTGCCTGTAACTGTTCTATTCTTGTATTATTTTGCTTTCCAGCTTGTTTACAAATCCTAGCTGTTCATGTGATTTCGTGATCTTCCTAGCTGTAGGATTTGCTTCTTTTGGCATTAAACGTAATAAATAAATAATAAATAAACGATAATATTACCATAATTTGGTAAACCACCATAACGTGGCCAATATTATTGGTTCTTAAAAAAAAAAATGATACAAATTTTTTTTCGACAATAGTATATCACTTCTCCGAATAACTCTTAATGACAAGATTTTTATTATATAATGATATTTGGGAGATAATATATTTTATGAATGTTTTCTAAATATGTTATAAAAAGGGAAAACAATTTCTATCCGGTTGTGCCTCAATTGAGGACGCAGATTGGGCATGTAAAAAGAGCTTTCGATTCGATCTTCACTACATGTATGATTAGGCGGGGTGAGCATGTGTAAAGAGCTTTCGGTTCGATCTTCACTACATGTATCATTAAACAAGCTGTGACTAAACCCCGAAAATATTTTAGCAGCGGTTTAAAAAAAAAAAAGAAAATGATATTTTTATTGTATTTGAATATCTTAGAAGTATATAAGGGAGATAAGATTTTTGTAGTTGGTTATATACATGTTATTTCTAAATCATTATTAAATTATAAAAGTTGAATATTGAAAATTTGTTTATCAGATAAAATTTAATATATGGTCGGTGACTCAAAATAAATTTAATTCATAAAGTTTCAATGGATACTTAAGTTTTCAGAGTCACTGTTCAACAAAATTGTTAATCCTGACTTATCGTTTTTTTTTTTTTTTTTTTTTTTTTGTTTATCAGATAAAAATTTAATATATTGGTCGGCTGACTCCAAAATTAATATTTAATTCATAAAGTTTTCAATGTGATACTTTAAAGTTTTCAGAGTCACTGTTCACAAAATTGTTAATCCTGACTTATCGTTTTTTTTTTTTTTTTTTTGTTATACATGAAAGCTTAATGTATCGAAATAACGTTATCCACTACACAACAGGCGGTAGTTTTCCCCTTTCAATCAATAGTCACCAAACTGGTTGATAAACTTTGAGTAGAGAGCGACTAAACTCGAGGACCTCTGCACTCTTTATATTTTTCTACGAGCGTTAGGAAGATCGATAAAGCACCAACTATTTTGGCAAATTGGGATTCGCTTTTAATGAAAAACTAATTTTTTTTTTTTTTTTTTTTTTTTATACATGGAAAGCTTAATGGATCGAAATAACGTTATGCACTACACAACAGGGGTAGTTTTCCCCTTTCAATAATAGTCACCAAACTGGTGATAACTTTTGAGTAGAGAGGACTTAAACTCGAGACCTCTGACTCTTTATATTTTCTACGAGCGTTAGGAAGATCGATAAGACCAACTATTGGCAAATTGGATCGTTTTAATGAAACTAAGTTTGCTTGCTCGAAGGACAACATGCTATTTCTTCTTACTGAGTTGGCAATTGCATATCTGCTGAGTGATGAACTGCCTACAATTCCTAAACCATCAAATGAAAAATATGTAGCGATCAGAGCATCTTGCAAGAAACAATCTACAAGATTTCTTGGATAATGTACGAGAAATCCAATCATATATATGAATTAAATGAACATTTCAGAAAAAGGGGAAATTATTAATTGCTCCTTGACCTTGGGGATTAGCTTAATGGATACTTATCATCCATGGGTTCATCTTTCATCTTTATCAACTCACCCGAGTCATGTTCTAAAAACTGGATTAGGGTTGGACTTCTGAGAAGTAATTCCTGACGCCTGAATATGCAAAATTAAAGTACCTCTAACAATCTCTGGTACAATATTTGCTAGCCTTCTATATGTGCATATCTACACTCCTCATACCTTGTGGAATGAAGCAAAACAACAAGAGCACTAACTTGTGATTTTTGTCACACATTGCAAATGACTATAGAAGACAGTTGAGGATCAGAAGCTCCATTAATAACAACACCCTTACTTCTAACATCTAGCAAATAATCCAAAACCCTTTCTGTAATAACCTCACCTGGAATCATTGCAGGTATCCCTGGTGGGTATGGACATATAAGTTCACCACATACCTTCCCAAGGCTCTCTCTAATTGATACTCTCCTTTTCTTAGCAAAAAATGCATCTCTTGGATTCAAGGTCATGCTAATATCAGTAAACAGTACATTCTGTCCATTCTTCACCTTTTCTTCTATCGTTCCAGTTTTTAAGGAACTTGCAGATAATTCTTTTAATCCTGACACTAGCCTCTGAACATGCTCTTCACAAGTTCCTAGATTAATTGCAAATGTAATAGATTGACTTTCGACAAGCTCAGATACAACTCTGTGATTCCTATCTAAAATATCATCTGCCTCGTAACCAGATAAACCAAGCTGCCAAAACCCAATTGTAAGGCGCAATGGATCCATCGCAGGAAATTTACTGAAGCTTGGTATCTCAAGCAAAGTAATACCTGGAATCTTTTTAATAAGATTTTTAGCTTCAGTAGCCAACTTCATTGCTCCATTGAAAATAGTTTCTGGTTTTTCACTGAGTTGAGCTCTAGCAGCATCTAACGATGCTAAAAGTAGATAACTGGGGCTTGTACTTTGAAGAGTTTGAAGACACTGACAAATTCTCTCCTTATCCACAATATTTCCTGACATGTGTAGCATTGATGACTGTGTGAGAGAGGATAGTACTTTGTGGGTCGATTGTACCACAAGATCAGCACCTTGCTTCAGGGCTGAAAGGGGCATTTGAGGATGAAAACCCAAGTGTGCTCCATGAGCCTCATCTACTATCACAGGAATTTCTCGAGAATGGCAAAGCTCTGAAATCTCATTTAAATTGCTAGAGATACCATGATAAGTAGGGGAAGTGACAAAAACTGCAGCAGGTTTATGGCCTTCCATCTCCAACTCTTTAATGGCTTTTTCCACCTGAAAAGCCAACTTTATCATATTTATCTAGGACTGAAAATGAAACTAAAAAATAATAATAATAAACAAAAATAATTCTGCTATTAAATGGACATAAATTCTTAAATATTGCTTTTCTTTTACCTTTTTCTAAATTTACACAACTTTTACAAGTGAAAATATGGTGGAAATGCAAAGCTTTCATTTTTAGGATGGTATTGCTAATTGATCACCAATATTACAACTAAGAATAATATTCATATGTCAATAGACTCACCTGTGATGGAGTCATCCCACCAGCAATGTCCCATCTACAATCATACTCCGGTATAATGTATTTGGGTATTGCTCCTGATAATACCATAGCAGATATGGCAGATATATGGCAATTGCGAGGGAGAATTATATGTTCTCCCGGGGAACAAGTTGCCATTATTGATGCTTGGATCCCACATGTTGTACCTCCAACAAGAAACCACGTTTCCAGTGACCCAAACAATTTGGCAGCTAGCATTTGTGCCTTTAAAATAGGCCCCTCAGGTGAAAAAAGATTGTCAAGCTCTGGAAGCTCAGGCAAATCATGAATAAATGGTCTTAAACCAATGAGCTGTGTTAATGAAACTGGTGCAGCACGCCCTCTATTATGGCCAGGGAAGTGAAAACTGGCTGCATTTTGTGCAGCGGAAGCTTTCAGTGCACTAACCAATGGAGGAAATGTATCTGGCTGACTTATATGAGAATTGGAAATGAGAGATACATCTGTTGAGACCGATATTCTGCAGCTCCTTTGTTGTTTCTTTTTTGGTTCCAAAATGCTCCTTTCCTGCAAGATGGTTTCAAGAATTAATGGATGGATGTACAAGTGGAAAACTTTAGCTCCAAAACCAAATTTACAAGGTTTCTTCACCTTATAGGGGAGACAAGAAGATGAAAACTCTCTGATTTGATTATCACATAAGGCACAATATAAACCAAGATATCAATTTACTTGCTGACCAAACTGTGATGAATTTTAAAAGCTTTCAGAGAACATCTGCAGCCAGTAGTTTGACCATAAGCATACAAAATGCAATACGTGTGCAATTGGTTAGTGATCCTATCAAAACCTTTTTTAAAGTACTAGGAAATTCTTGAAAGGGAGGAAGTCAAACCCCCAACAGGTGAGGCAGGCATAAGAATACTGAGCAAGGAACTTATCCATTTACCATAAGTCTGCCGATACCATATAACTAGATATGAAATTCTTGGAAGGAGAGCAACTTCTATCCAATTCACTAAATTTTGTAAAATGACTAAAAATGTCTCTACAGAAACCATAATTTCCCATTCTTTTTTCAAGTTTCATAGATATGAATTCAGCAGAAAATGCCAATAATTTACAGTTTTAATCTTATTTTTTATTTGGGGTTATAAGGTTAGAAGAGCTCCCACTAAAGCAATTGTGATATCGCAGTTTCAAAGGTAAAAGATGGGAACTTTTCTAATGAAAAACAAGATAGTTAAGTACCTGAGAAATAGAGACGCAAATCCCCGTTCTTTTTCTCAAAGAATTCAAAGTCCAGTCCTTGGCAAAAGCCAAGTCAAGATTCTGCAAAAGAAAATGAACATGTAAAACATTTACAGGAACACGTTAGAGAGAGAGAGAGAGAGAGAGAGAGAGCTAGAGAGATTTACAGGAAGGTGAAGAGAGGTTAAGGAGACACAGGTCATTGCTGTTTATCGGACATTGGCTTCAACATCCCACTTTGCATATCCACAATGGGTTTAAGGATGATGATACTTTGCGCAATTCGCATCAATAATAGTTTTTATATGAAATTTATAAATTTACGTTACATTATTATAAATTTATAGAGTTAGATTAAGCATAATAATAATATAATACAATTTATAATAATTTCCTTAAAATAATATAATTTTCTTTTTAATAAAAAAATTCTTTTGATCCAAATATCTATAATTTTTTAAAAAAATTCATATAGATTATTTATGAAAATAAATGTAGCTATAAAATAAAATCATAAAAAATTAGGAAATTTTGTTGTGCGAAAATTAGCTGCCAGGTTATTTATATTGTTAGCGTCTCATCAAATGTTAAAGAAGTACTTTCATATGTTACCGAAAAAAAAAAAAAAAACTTTCATAGTAATATAAACATTATGTCTACGCAACATTATGAATAATAAAATATATTTTTTAAATTAATAAAATTAATTTTTTAATTTTAATTAAAATGCTAGAAGCTATATAAAATTATAAGTATATAATAATTATTTTAAGAGTCTGTTTGGCAATATTAATTATTTTAATATTATAGTAGCCGTTAGCTATTCTATTAACTATTAGTTGATATCGATTTAAATTAGAAATTGTTTGGAATTTTTTTTTATATAATTAGCTGTTTAACTTAAATAATAAAAAAATATTAATTATTTAATTAACTTAATTCTGAGGAAAAATTAAAAAACAATGACAATGACTATGATTGTGTTAGAGATATTATCATGTGTAACATAATGGAGCTCCTTGTGCTCCAACCAACTCTAGCATTAAGCATCATATTGCTACCATCCACCAACATAATGAAAAGAAAAACGTTTCTCGTAAGAAACCCCCCCAAAAAAACGTCTACGACCCGCACAAATTGGGTCCTGTGCTCTGATTAGTTGTAGTGGTGCTGTGCTGTGTTATTTTATATGTATGCGAGTGGGAAAAAATATAAAAATACGGAGAAAACGCGGAGAGAGAGGAGAAGGAGAAAGAGAAGGAGACAGGCAAGCTCCAATATAGTAAGAAGCGTTAAGATTCGATCTGCTAGTTAATGTCTCTTTGTTTCTAAATTCGCAATTCAGAGCACTATTCCTTTTCATTTTCTTTCTTCGATTTAATTTCTCAATATTTTTCATTTCTGAATTTTGCTTTTTGGCCTATTCAATTAGATTCAGATTGGTGTAGTTCAGGTTAGGTAGCCATAAATTCAGATTCAGGATTTCAAAGGAATTCATTGTTTTACCTATTTTTAATATATTTCGCTACCTGAATTTCCAAAATTTTCTATTCGAGTTCTGCCAAGTTTGAATTTTTGAAATATTTTTTGAGAATTATAATTATCTAGGAATTGGGATTTTCAAGTTGATTATTGATATTACAGGTTTTTGTGTCTGTGTCTCCCTCTCTTCTGTTCTGAAGAAGAGAGTAGGAGAGAATGGAGTACGAGACAACCAATAGTTGGATATGGGATGGAGTGTATCACTACCCACATGTATTTGGTGGTCTAATGTTAACAGCTGCCTTGCTGGGTTTGTCCACTAGTTATTTTGGTGGAATTGGGTTTTCTTCATTCCCCTATATCTGTTGGGATCTTGGTACTTTGTATAAGAAGAGATATGAGAAGAAGAAGAAGCGCATTCGTGTTTACATGGATGGTTGCTTTGATCTTATGCATTATGGACATGCCAATGCTTTAAGACAGGCTAAAGCTTTGGGTGATGAATTAGTGGTAGGTGTTGTCAGTGATGAAGAGATAATTGCCAATAAGGGTCCCCCTGTTTTGCCCATGGAGGAGAGGTAACAATTTGCTGATTTACATTCTGATAAAAAAAAATAAAAAATCTCCTTGTTATTCCCCACGGTAGTACTATTCAGTATTAATATCATAAGATTGAGCAATTAACTGCTAATTCATGTGTCTTTACTTCCAACTGGCATTTTTCTTACAACTTGAAAGTTAAGCTATGTTTTTCTTATCCAGTGTTTGGTCCTTCATTAAAGAATGATTAATTTTTAAAATTGAATTGACCGCTCCCCACTTTCTCCCGTTTTATATCCTATTGTTGGAGGGTCTTGCATGCTTGGCTCAGTAGTTGGAGAATTCAATGCATTGGTTATCCATGGAACTTATCCTTTTCTCCCTTATACCATGCTGGATATAAGTTCTAGTTACGTTACCCTTCACTTGCATATTTTGGAATGACATCATAATGCTATAGATTATGTTCAGTTAGCATTTAGGCTATAGTGCAAATCAATGTTACCAATATGTTTATTGAGTGGGGCAATAGTGGAAAAGGGTTTAGTGACCCTAGATCTTTTTGAGGATATAATCCCAAACTGGGTGGAATGGAGGAAAATGATCCATGTGATATCTAACTTTATATTAGGTTATAGATTTGACACAATATTGAAAAGATAGAACAAGGAGAGAAGATAACCAAAGATGCTTAATTTTCAGGTTAGACAACCAGGAAAATTAGTACCAGTAAACTGTTTCTTTTATTTAAGAAATCTGCCGATGAAATTGATTATTCGTCCTATTTTATAGACTACAATCCTACTGGAATTAGGCCTTGAACATAAATTCTACTATATGATAAGGTCTTAAACATAATATCCTACTATAATAAAGTCTTGAGCATCAAATCCTTATAGGAGTAGGAGTTGACCACTCTAAACAAAGTCCAACATAATTAAATCATAAACAGCCCTAATCTGAAAACTGTTAAATATCGTCAACAGTAAATGCAGTACAGTAATATCAATAATAACTTTAGAAAGTATGAACTTCTGATCCTGCATAAAGTTCTCAACTAGTTTAGTAGTAAGGCTTGTGCCTATTCTTAACATTTTGGAATGTAATTGATTTGTTGGTTTGCACCACTTAGAAGACATTATTTATCAGACCAAATATGAGTAATTCCTACAATGACATTTTGCTCAATTAACTTTACATTTTACTAACCGGACTTTCTAAATTCAATTTAATCATATGCAAGTAATTTAAGTTATTTTGCTCTAATTTAAGCTTCTTTCAGACTGGCTCTTGTCAGTGGATTGAAGTGGGTGGATGAAGTCATAGCCAATTCTCCTTATGCCATTACAGAGCAATTCATGAACACTCTCTTCAATGAGCATAAAATTGACTATATCATACATGGCGATGATCCTTGCCTGCTTCCTGATGGAACTGACGCTTATGCATTGGCCAAGAGGGCTGGACGCTATAAGCAGATTAAACGCACTGAAGGGGTCTCCAGCACTGATATTGTAGGTACTATTATTTTTCTCGAGCAATCTTGGAAATTTTCATAGAAATACTAGATATTTGTCAGCAAGATGGCTGGATAAGTTGATTTAAGGTTGTGAATGAAATTAGCTCATACACATCTTACGATAAGGCTTGCCATGAGTAGAAGTGTTTGATATAAAAATTCTCTCTCAATGGTTTTGATCGTTGACCTAATTTTGCTATTGCTAAAGAATTTTTTTTTAGTTTTAATATGATGGCATGTTACTTATGTTTTTGTAGTGACCACATAATTATTTTAATGTAGGAAGGATACTTTCTGTGGATGATCCAAAAGTTTGTGAAGCTCATGATGATAAGTTGCCTTTACCTAGAGATGCCTGTAAAGCAAATCAATCCAGTGGTGCCTATATATCTCAATTTCTACCAACATCACGTCGAATTGTTCAATTTTCAAATGGCAAGGTATTTCCAACATCTTTGTATGAAGACAGTAAAGCGTGAATTTAGATATTCTACATGGAAAAACAAGACAACCGCCATGTTAAAACATGTTTTCTTATTCTTTTTGACAAAGAGGATAAAGAAATTGGTTTTTTATATCGTGTAACTAAAAATTGCACCATGCGAAAATGTGTTGAAACACTTGTGCTGGCTACACAAGGTTACAAATTTTTTGTTTTTCCATTTTTTCTTACACCAGAAACTTTTAAAGGATAATGGAATTGAACCTGACTTGCTGCATATGAGGTAGGTACCTGATCATTCAACAGGACTACTATCTTGAAGGCAAAGCTAAAACATTGTCTGCATAGAGTTGTTATTTTTTTTATTTATTATAGTGGAGAAACTGTAGGCGGAATCAATTTTTTGGCATTGAAGAGATGTGTAAGTGGACAGGGATTTGCATACTGTACGCTGCACTTGTTCAACTTAACTAAATTAAGCTTTGATCCCAACCTAGTCAGTGATTGGATACATGTATCTTTTTCCTTCATTTTAATCATTTTAGGCTGTATAGTACACGCTATCAAATCTTTATTTACCACTTGTACCAATTCATTTTATGCCTGCACCTTTTCTTGTTTTAATTCCTATGACTTCTTGCAACTGTTGATTTACATTTTATGTGCTCAGATGTTCATCATCTCTCAACTTACAGATGTTACATCCACCTTACTATGAGACGCTTCCTTATTGTCTTTCGACCAAGTTTTAGCCTTTCATTTTGAGCACCAACACCCCCCCTTTGAGCACCAAACACCCCCCCCCCCCCCCCCCCAAAAAAAAAAAAAATGCAAATAATAACTAAGATATAATTTTCCCAGTGACTACTCTAATTAACTTTCTGATGCCAGAATGGCATTGCATTAAATTTACCAAAGCAAGCAAAGCATAGTGTTTAATTTTTGCTAAATTTCAGACCTTAGAGTGCATATTCAAGTGCCTCTGATATTGTGGCAAGCCCTCAGTTTAATTGCACAGATATATATGTAAATACACAGTTTTCTGTCACAGAACGATTAAGGTTGCAAAAAAAAATGCCAACTAATAATAAGATATAATTTTCCCAGTGGATACTCTAATATAACTTTCTGATTCAGAGGATGGCATGCATTTAAATACCCAAAGCAAGAAGCATAGTGTTAATTTTGCTAATTTAGACCTTAGAGTTGATTATTCAGTGCCTCTGATATTGTGGAAGCCCCTCAGTTTAATTGCACAGATATATATGCTAATCAACTATATCATGTCACAGAACGATTAAGTTGCTTTGTGCAGGATAGCATTTTTTTTTATTTTGGATTCATCGTTCATTAATAAATTACTTTCTTCTCTTTATTCTGAAAAGACAAGAGAAAAGAGGCAAACTACTTTTTTTTTTTTTCTTCTTTTTCCCGTTCATGGGTGCATGGACCTGATTTGTTTATATAAAGCCCGCTGATTGGTTTAACCTCAGGGACCTGGACCAAATGCTCGTGTTGTGTACATTGATGGGGCATTTGACCTCTTCCATGCTGGACATGTGGAGGTACCTTTAATCACTATGCTTTACTGTCTCCATTTTATTATCTATTTAGGTACTTAATTTTATGGTGAATGACTGGTATTACAAATTCATGGTTTATGAGGTGTGATTTGGTATCTCTATTGCCATGTCAGAGTTTGTGGATTCTGTATAGTTTCCTCTCTTTTTATTTTTTTTATCATATTGAAGGATAAATGATAGACATTCTGCCTTTGTCACTGGGCATTGTCTTTGTGCTCTTTAATAACCTGCCACGCACCCTATCTTGAGCATAGATCGTTTCTGGTTGGACACCCTATCTAATTGGCCAACATGTAACTTTTTTAGGGGTTCTTATATGATGCAGAATAGGAACACAAGAAAATTTAAATTCAAGGATTCGAGCTTGGAGTTGCGGTCCAGATATAACATAGGGTTTATTGGGGAAATTATAAACCTTCCTAGTTATGCTTATATCTAAATAGATAAACTGCCGCTCCAGTATCTCAAAATCAGGAGCAATTTTGTAATTTCTTGCTTTCTTGGAAAATCTGTCCTATTTAGGAGTCTTTATACATTAAGTCTTATTTTTGAGTCCTTGTTGGTTGGGATAGTATTATTCCTTTTTAGGTTATTTTGGAGTCAAAATCCTTGAGAGGATGTAGACTAGTTTTTTAAATTCCTTTTCTTAAACGTTCAGGAGTTGTTTTAAAATCATTTCGTAAATAATTTTATAATTCTATAAATACCTAGGACTGTCGTCTCTTACTTCAGCCTTGTTATTCAATAAGATTACTAGCAATTCTACTTTGTTTTCAGGTTTGTGACGCAATTCAACCATAGTATGATGTTTGTGGAATCTTGTTGTGATGCCTAAGAATGTTTAGATGAGAAGCATAAACATTTATCCTTCTATTTGCCATTCACGCATTTATGAATTAGTATTCACAAGTACTATACACATCATTATAAATGGGTACTGTTCACCAACACTTTTCACGGTTCCATAACAGCCCCATAAGCCTTCCTTTTGTATTATCTCTGCTTCTTTAACCTTTTCCCAATCCAAATGGTTCCCTTACATATTTGCCCATCCTAGCCTTTTAATAAACCTAAAATTAGCCAAAAATAACCTGTTCTAGTTATCTCCTAACCTGTCCTACTCTTACATCAAGGTACGATATCCATGTGGGTATGCCTCTTCTCAAATCACTAGAGAATCATTTGTGTGCATTACAACACAACCGATACTTGTGACTCTTGCCTTGTAACACAAACAATATCAGCAGAAATTTAGAATTGTTTGTATTGTTATAGATAGAGAAACTTCAAATCAAAGAGACAAAGAAGAAGAAACAGAGAGAAGCAAATGAGAAAACAGATAACAAAAGGAATGATACCAAATAATTTCTTCTGGGTCTTCTTAAGAAACTTTACTTTTGAAGGGTTCAATGTCTATGCTTCCTCCTTTCTTGCTGATCTTCAAGATTTTTTAGGTTGGTCAAGTTACCAGCCATCCTCTAATCTTTAAGTCTTTGACTCCTAACTCACCCACCTAAAAGAATAGGCTACTTGTTGCAAGATGAGTTTTATATGCTCCTCATTGCTTCTCTTATCCTTGTGGTTTTAGATTTAGTTGGGTCATTTTCTCATTTCTTTCGTTTTTAGTACCTAACAGTTAACATGTAGCACATTTCGAAAGAATCAGTCTCATACAAAAACTTGGTTTTCTTTTGCAATTAAACCCATTTGAATTTTTTTTTTTAGTTGTATAAATAATGAAATTTAATAATTTATATATTTTCATGCAAAAGCTTAAAAATTTTGATGGCTTTTACGTGATGTTCCTCAATTTTTTTTTTCAATTAAAACAATTTTTATTTTATTTTATTTTTTCCAAAAGTTACTTGCATGATTATTTTAAACTTAAAATAATGGCATTTTTTTGTTGATGACTTCCAATTATACATTGCAATTGAAGTGTTTTACTTAATTGATACTTAGTTTTGAAGTTGGAATTGTTAATGGCATATAGTTTTCAAAATTTATTTTTAAAATCAACAATAGCATCGACTGCAACTGTTATATTTTAGCTGCAATACACAAATAGGTGTGCCATGTGACCATGGCTGCAATTCTGAAACCTTGTTTGGCACAATTGAGTTTTTTGCTCGAAGTGATGCTTCCATTGGATCAGATTTCTCAAACTTATGTCTAATGGCACTGTGAAATGTGATTCGATTGGAATTTTAACTAATTTTGATCTAAATCTTGTAGGTGATTTTGGAAGAAATTTAAAAAATTTGAGGAGTTTAAAATAATAATAATAATAATAATAATAATAATAATGTTGTTGGACACTTGAGTGAATGCCTGATACAGGCGGTGTGGATAATTTTCCTGCCCTATTTTATGATGGAAATATTGAAAGTCGACTATATTGTAAACTTTGCTGATAAATTTTATATATCTTGCTCCATGCTCTGTTCTTGGTTGAAATTTGGTGGCGGATTCTGTTTTTCGTGCTCAGATTCTCAGATGTGCTAGGCAGCTTGGTGATTTTCTGCTCGTTGGGATTCACACTGACCAAATTGTGAGGTATACTCATTTGTTTTGGGCTCGATTTATTTTTGTGTTTCATTACTCACTTAAACCTAGCATGATATTTCCTGCATAAATAGAGTGAAATAAATTAATGGAATAGAATGATGTTGTTTTGTGCAGTGAACACAGAGGGAAGAACTACCCAATTATGCATCTACATGAGCGTAGTTTAAGTGTGCTGGCTTGCCGTTATGTGGATGAAGTCATCATTGGTGCCCCTTGGGAAGTTTCTAAAGACATGGTGTGTGTTTCTTTTTTAGTTAGTTTATTAGCATTTTATTTCAAATAAATATTTCTTTGATCTGCAATGCTGTAATGGTTCGTTGATAGTCCTGTGTTTCTTCTTTTTTTTTCCCCCTCATGTATGTTATTGGCAACTTTTCAAGTGTTTGCAGTTGTTGAATAAGCATGCATACTCATTGATGAAATGCTGACATAGGGATAGTTTGAAGGGCTGGCTAGTAATGCTGAATTTTGGGTATATGAAGGTGAGGTGAGGATGGGTAAATATTTAGGTGAATAATTAGGGTTGATATGGGAATAGCTTAGAAAGGCAAAGAGAACAGAAAAGGAAGATTTACAGGGCTGGCTGTGGAGAAACTAAAGTAATATTCACACTATCCATGAAATGTAAAATAGAAGAGTATTTATGCTTCAAGCTCAAACTTTCTCAGGCATCAAACTCCAAGGTCCCATAGGCATCACAAATTAAAGTAGCATAAGTATGGTTTTTTTATTCAAAAACAGAAATGAATTAAAAGTGTTCTAGACCTAGGTATTTATAGACTTAAACAACACCAAGCCTTGAGAAAGGGAATTCAAGATGAGGCCTAATAAGGCCTCAACAACGAAAAATAATATTCCAGCTATCAAGGGCTCAATAAAAGTTAAAGTAAATTTAAAAGATTCCTAATGAAACAGGGATATGTTTTTCAACAAAAGTAAATTTTACAAAATTGGCTCTTAGACTTGGAAGTAGTGGACCAGCTGCTAATTTATCTAAGTAGACACTAAGACTCTAAAAAGACTAGAAAATATACTATAATGTCCCAATAAATTCCATATAGAATCTGAACCATAATTTTAAAATCCATGGATTTTGTTGAATTCCATTTGTACATCAAATACACAATTGGCGATTCTGTTGGACAGCAATCTATGAATTATGAATTGATTTTAGCTATACCTATTTTAGGCTTGAATTCAGCAATTTGGGTAAATGTGTTTTTTCTGAAATTCTTCATTGGTTCTTATGATTAGTATATGTTATTCTGTTTAGTATTTTTGGTTGATTTTGTTGTCTAGATAAGGCCAATCCAAATGCATTTGACTTTGTTACTTATTTATGTTCCACTAAAAGTGTCCTTTCTGTTTTTCTTTTGTTGCTTCTAAGTTCTAATCCTTCTTTTGTCCCTATTTGTCTCTTCCTTTGTTCTGCTGTGCGCTTGTTTGTCTGTGTTCTACCACATTTGTTTTAATAATGCGCAGTGCTGAAAGAAATTTTGGTTCATGGTTGGAATATTTTTAATCAACGACAGCTTGAGTTAGTTTCATAACTACTAATATTTCTGCAAATTGATCTTGATCTGTATATTCATGTGGTTTCTCTTTGATGTAAAGTTCTTTTGGTTGATTACTGTCACTTATATGCATATTAGTATACTGTTACAAATCACATAATGTATAACCAAGCACAAAAAGACGAGGATGCTGGTTCTACTTTGTTAATTTCTTTGTTTTACTTACTCATAGCTGCTACTGTCTGATAGTATAAATTATTTGGAGTATGTGCCAATTTTGGTTGTATATTTATTAAAATAAGCAATTACTGTCACCTCTGCTTTATTCAATATGAACTTCGAACTTTTGAAATCCTGTATTAAGGCTTGGGAACATGATAAGGTTCTTATAAGTTAATGGCAGATAAAAAAAGGGTCATGTATTAGGGTGATTCAATAGTTGGTTCTATTAAATTTAACACAAGGATTATGCTTTACCACTGTGTGATTTCCATTTCAACACTGTGTCCTTTGGATTTGCTTAACAACCAATAGATTAGCTGAGGAATCAAGCATTAGAGTTGACATATTGCATAGAATGTGAGTGCACGAGCATTATCATCATTATTCCTGATGTTGTACTTAAACAATCCTGAGGTCTTCTCCTTAAATGATCAGATTACAACTTTCAACATCTCTTTGGTTGTTCATGGGACAATTGCAGAGTGCAACTCCTTGTTGGCCGTAAGTTTGATTCTTCACTTTTTAAGATTGAATCATGTGTTACTGTACCCTACTTATATTTGAATTAAAAGAAATGAGAAGTCAAACAAATCATTTTCTTCATGCAGGGCATTCCCGATCCTTATGCAGTTCCAAAGAGCATGGGAATTTTCCAGATCCTTGAAAGCCCCAAAAATATAACTACCACTTCAGTAGCGCAAAGGATTGTTGCCAATCATGAGGCTTACATGGTATTCATTAATTCCTTATCTTGCCTTAGTTTCTTGAGTGTGTCACTTTTTTGTTTAATCATCAGTCACTTTATTTTATCTTCATCTCAAGTGATTGAACACATCTTTCAGGTCTTATAATGCTATGATTAAGTGTAGATACTCATTATTGAACGCATAAAATAGTTATTCTATTTTATGCCTTGTTGTTTCTTTTGTAGGTTTGTCAAACTCAGATGAGATTAACCCAATTGCCACAAAACTATAATTTAACGATCAAATTGTGACAGATTAAGGTGTTGTAGCTGCAATTAAACTTAGTAAATTTCATTACCCATTAATATAATTTACCAAATTCTAATTAGTATTGTACTCAAATGAAATAGCTGAGTGTTACATTTCTGGTCTTGAGTTTATTTATGCTTTTAGGCTATAATGAAGTCTTCACTAGTCTATTGATGAGAAGGGGCCTGTAGTCTTATTTTGGAATTCTAAGTCTCCTATGTATGTTATGTTCTCATATATGATATCTAGTCATGGCAGCGCATTCTGAGTTGTAATTAATATTCCACAATTATATGCTACCACAAACGAAGTCTAGATGTGAAGCTTAGAATGCTACTTTTCCTCCGATTTAAAATTCTTATTTGAACTTTGCTATTTCAATCCTAGAAATCTTCTATGAAAACCTAATTTACGTTCTAATCAAATGTTGTTAGAGAACCCTTAAATCCCGAAATTTATTGCATGTTAGTCCAAAATCTCGCCATTTCATGTCCTGTATCTGATCAGACACCTTTACATATCCTAATTATCCACATAAATTCTATCCATAGCTTCAGCATGCTTATATATGAAAGCTCATCCTACCGGTTCTGAAAATTTGGTGACTGACTTTCCTGTTTTGAGGAGAGCTCTTAATTTTTGTTACTAATCCTCATTTCAATGCAGAAACGCAATGCGAAGAAGGCAGAAAGTGAGAAAAAATATTATGCAGAAAAGGTGTACGTATCAGGAGATTAGTGGAGATGTATGTTCATCGAACAGCTGGTTTGATACAGTTCTTAATGCCCAATAGAAATGCTTGTTTGCTCAAGGTACAAATCAGTCACATAAATAGAGTGATGAAAGAGATTAGATTGAAGCAAAGATAACATCATAATTTTATATTCTCATTTCGTGTAATGTTATTCCAGTGTAGGCAAACACTCATGATGTCACCATTTTAAAAGGATGAATTTTTCTGGGCGTTTAATTTTCACTGCGCCGTTGAATTTCCTAGTTTAGATTTATTTTTTCTTTTGGAAGTACTGTTTTTGAGTATTATCCAATACAGGCTAGTTATCATTGGTTTGAAACATTGTTGTATAAGAATAATTTTGCTTTAGTTCAATTGGCCAATTGGCACTAACAAAATACTGCAGAACTGGATATTAACCTGAGAAGATGATAGATGATCTGCTTTTAGGCATTCTATTGCTACATTTTCTTTCTTTACTAGCAATATGAGGGCTTTTTCAAGGATGAGTTGATGGATTTGAGGAAAAGTCTTTATTTGCATTTGCGAAAACCAATGAAGAATTCAAGGATTTTGGTAAAAATCTCATTGGAAGTGATGGATTTGATTTTACTGAACGTTTCATTGGCTGTTAGTCATGGTATGTAAGATCTGTCAATAAATAAATATCATTTTCATCATTACTATTTCCTTCACTTGCTAAGAAAGAATTCTGCATATAATTTGAATCAAAATTGGCAATTACAGCAAATTGAGAGTTGAAGAAGAAGTCCCAAATGCATTGATAAAACCCCAAACAAACAGCCTGAAACTTAAAGCCGATAATACTGTACAGAGTAACAACTATTTTTTTAGGAGAAAATAGAAGAAAGGAAAAGAATCTCCACCGAATTGATTCTATTCCAACACCACCAGCCACCTACTCGGTACACATCTCCCAAGACAAGAGTAGGCCCTCCCAAGTAAAAACCCCCAACATGCATATTCCTTTCTCAGTCTCTAAACCACATTTTTACCTACATTTTAACTATTGGTCTACTGCTATGCTATTGGAACCATGTGATAGGAGTGGAAGTGTTTTGAGGTAGCTGTGGTATCAAACAATGCTGTTGCTGCCATTGAGGCAAGCCTTGGGTCCCACTCATCATTCCACCGGATTCAAGCTCATTGCTTTGAATAGTATTGTTGCCTTCAAATTCAATTTCCATTGTTTCTTCCCCAACTTGTTCGGCTTCCATTAGATCTGGAGCTTCTGCTTGAGAGGTATCGATGCCTCGTGCGAAAGCAGCCTGTGAAGGAACCCACGGAACAACTGCCATGCATTCATTTGTTGCTTCTCTTTCTTCCTCGGCCAACCTTATGTTACCATTGCAGCTTGACCTAAGAAATTGACCTGCATAGAGAATGCCCAATTTAGTTACTCTCTTCAATCACAATAATGATTTACTTGACATTGAGGTTGAACACTACATTTTTGGCAAAGTATGCCTCAAACCCGAGTTTTGTTTGCTCCACTATATGGTATGAAATGAAATCCTTGACTTTGTTGTTTGGTTTGTTCCACAGAAATACGAAAAATCTTTAACACGTTTATGTTTGGATGAGTTTAATTTATATTGAAACAGTATGGTATATTTCCAAGCTTATTCTTAATCTAACAAGCAAACTCTAATTAATTATCTAGAAAAGTAAAGGTTGAAATTGGATTTTCTGAAACATCCATCCACATTCCACTTCCAAGTCCATGGTGAACCAAAAAAAATCCCCGGATTTTATTGCAAAAACTAGTTTGAAGGCACTATTTTAACTGTCATTTAGCTATTTTGGAGTTATTGTGCAAAAACATGTCAAATTCACCTCCTAAAAGGAATTTAATAGCAGCTAACCTACATTTCAAGTTGGTGATTGCTAAAACAGCTATACCAACTAGCGAAAAAGAAAACTCCATTCCATAAAGCTCTTATTTCCTAATTGATCTGTTAGTAATTGAAAATTCCATTTTCAAATTCAATGGCTAGCAGACAATGTTTATATGTTCTCTGGATTGACACTTTTCAAGAAATAGCTAATTCTTCTATACTATATTGCACAAAATCTCACAGAAAATATAGTATTTAAGAGCATAATACTGCAGAAAAAAGAATAGAAAAAAAGATTAATGCTTAATACTTACTTTTAATTCCATAAACCAAGTCAGAATCGACAGAGACTGAAAAATTAGATGAAGAATGTAAGAGAGGGTTAGTTTTAACAGGCTTGAACACCACAATAGCCCTCTCTTGGTTTCCTACTCCAGAATCCACCATTGGCTGCTGCTTCTCTTCAACACCTCCAACAAAAACCGCTGGGGGATGCATCTCTGCCTCCTCTTCCTCCATTATTGGCGGCAACTCTGCGTCCTATCAAGTACGAAAACGATAAATTATTCTTCGATTGTTAAAAATATATTTAGAGAAAAAGCAAAATCAGAGTCGGCTAAAGTACCAGACGGCGAATCTTTCGAGCCGGCGAAGAGAGAGAAAAATCGGAGAAATCGTCACTAACATCGTCAAGCTCCTTCCTCTTCATCTTGATCGACGACAAGTATTGTCCTGACATTCTCTACCGCTGAAATTGAGCTAATTTGAAAGGTTATGCGAATGAATTGCGCAGAAAGGATGGAAGTTAAAAAGAGGACAAAGATTTCTCTGCGTTTGTCTGGAAAAGTCCAGAACCCACATTTAGATATACGCCCTGCTGTTACTGTGGTACGTATTTTGTTTTATTTGCTCTTTTACCCTTATTTTTCTTTTTAATCCATAAATGAGTAATTTCTTTTGCTTACGTGTCAACGTATTCATAATTATTCATTTTTAGCTTATCCACATTCATCCCCTAAATTTTTATTTTTATGAAAATTAAACCTATTAACTGTTAATAATAGTTGGTGATTAAACAAAAATGTTTTTATAATTATTAATAAATTTTGCAAAAAAAATTAATAAAATTAGAAATGAGAATAAGCCAAAAGCAGAAACATTGGGAAATGGGAAAGGAAAGATAATAAACCACTATCCCAATTATTGATGCTTAAAATGCAAGGTAGATCTTGACATTTTAACAGCAATCAAAACACACATTGTCGGATAATACCCATCTGAGTTTGAGATTTGGCTGAGGAATTCGGAAAATGGAGAGAGGGGTTTCTTGGCCTAGTAAAGATGAGGTAGTAATCATTAAAAAAATTTGATGGGCTTCTTCTAAATTGCTTCAAGTCTCTATTTTTGCATTCACCACTGATTTCTATTTTGTTGATTGAGTTAATGGCGTTTAAGAAATGTGCATTGTCGTTTACATTGCTCTTTTGCCAGCTAAATAGAATAAGGAAAGTGGTTTCTGCAATGGCTGGGAGAAGTCCCGAGGAAGTTCGTGTTGTAGTTTCTCCTTATCGGATTTGCCCTCTTGGTGCGCACATTGATCATCAGGTTTGTTTGCTAAACAGGTTCTTGGTAGTGCCTCTTTGATTTTTTATTAGTTTGTTTTCAATCCAAATGATTTTAACTTGAAATTAGTCAGAATTAATTTTTTTTTCTCCCCATTTTTTTAGCACATTGCAGTCCCCTTTATTACGGTTGCAAATCAGCACCATTATACTTGGCAATTTATAAATTGTAGGAAATAATGGATTTTAGTGCTTGCAGGGTGGAACTGTTTCAGCTATGACAATTAACAGAGGAATACTTCTGGGGTTTATTCCTTCTGGGGATACTAAGGTAAAAAAAAGTTGTTCAGGTTCATAAACTGTGACTTTATGCAGCAGTTGTTTCGAGTCAAATTGCATCAACAAGACAGAAATAGCAAATGCAAAAGGAATGGTGACTTATGTTGGAGTCCACAAAGATCGCGTATGGTAGTTGGATGGCAAGTTTGAGCCCCAACAATGTCTTGTTAATAATAATAGCAGTTTTAGCCATATTTTGCATGTTGCAGAACCTTTGTCATCTATGAGTGCAGTTCACAGACTAACTGGGGAAAAATAGGGTAGGAAATTTATGGAAGATATCCTGTTCGATTAATTATTTATGGTTTGTCTTGTGTGTATTTGAAAAATAGAACAAGGTGAAACTTAGGTAAACTATCAAAATTTGTTGAAGAGAATAACTAGGAAACAAAATATCACAAGGAAAACAAGTTATGGGACATGTTTGAAATGCAGGTAATGCATTGAAAACATTACTTGTGAACAATAAATCAGATATTTAAGATTAACATCTAAGCTTCATTAGGCATCACATCTAAGGCTTTGTTTGAAAGGAAGGAAAATAATATCTTTTTGACCATATCTAATTAAAGAAACATTCCCTTTTCTTAATGTTTCTACTTTCTAGTCAATATTATTATCAAGATACATTTTTCTAGTCTAGTCCTTTGCAAATCCACATTTACATGTTTTGTATGCTCAAAAATTTACTTGGAATTCTGCATTATTAAATCTATGAAATTGGTTATGCTTGAGTGAAAAATTCCACTAAATTTGATAGAATTTGCAAATAGATTATGAACTAACTAGTTTTTAAATCTTTAAATGTCGGTACAGACTCTGATATTAATGAAAAATCAGAGGGATGGAATTCAAAAAGAATTTTTTGGAGTAGTTGGGGGGGAGGGGGGGGGGGGGGGGAACATTCCCTTTTACTTCATGTTCTCTACTATTCTAGTCAAATATTATTATCAAAGATACATTTATTTTAGTCTAGTCCTTTGCAAATCCAATTTACATGTTTGATGCTCAAAAATTTTACTTGGAATTCTGTTATTAAATCTATTGACAATTGGTTATTTGAGTGAAACATTCCACTAATTTGATAGAATTTAGCAAATAGGTTATGAAACTAATAGTTTTAAAATCTTTAAATGTCGGTACAGAACTCTGATATTAATGAAAAATCAGAGGGCATGGAATCAAAAGAATTTTTGGCAGTAGTTGGGGGGTAGGGGGGGGGGGGGGGGGGGGGGTGTAATGCCCCATTGCCTTCATGCTGGATTTGTCTTTGAAGATTAGTCTGTTGGATTTTGCAGCTAACATTAAAGCCCTTGTAGTAAGGAAAAAAAATTATGCAATCATCATTATGCTACTCATTTATTACTCTCCTTCATTTCCACTACCAACACATTATCATTCTCTATTATATCTAACTATTACCAGCGAGCACAATGGTTTCAAAAAATGGAAATATTGCCGCTTCAACTGAATTTTACTGAAAACCTTGGCTAACCAATATAAATTTGATGTCAAACTGTGGTGTTTTGTGGAACTGCTGAATATTTGAGAGTCCAAATCCTTAGAGGATGAGCACTAACTTTGATGTCCTATCAGTAAAGTTTTAGGATTAGTTTAGTCTTTGAATACCCTTGTGCTTGTAATACCTTATGATCATATTTTAGTTACTAAAGGTTTCAGCAATTTCATGCTCTTAGCTTTGAAAGTGTTTGAGGATTTGGAATTCTTGATGATTTGTATTGATGTATAAGGCCCTTTAAATAGGGAGAATACAAGCAGAATATGGAAAGGAATTACAGAGATTAATTACAGGAAATTAATTGTAATCTGTTGTAATGGCAGCGTGTTTTCTAAATCAGAGAGATAGATCTGTGGAGATATCACTCAGGCTAAGGGACTCCCCAGTTGGCGGGCGGAGACAGCGCTGCAAGCTGGAATCCGAAAATGACCTTGGAACACTGTCGAGATAGGCCTTTGGTGAAGATGTCAGCATACTTGAAAAGCAGATGGGACATTTGAGACGGCCGCATGTGGCCTATTCGAACTTTCTACCTGCCGTTACAAAGGTACGTCGGATCTCATGTGGTTTGTGCGTTATGCTCGACAGGCATGTCAACATATACACCTGCGGAAAACATTTCACAGTATTACGACGAGCCATGCTTGAAGTGGAGTGTAATTCCAGGAAGCTAAGAATTGCGAGCCAGTGGACTCTGCAAGCATTTGTACTCTCTCTAATATTCTGCACTCTGCACCTAGACCCGTGAGTAGAATAGGCTCCGTTCTTGCAAGACCAGTGAAATCAAATTATCACCAGGAAAAACACAGTATTCCACTAGTTGATTTCTGGAGTCTGGCGCCATTACCACCCAATCTTGCGTTTGAGTATGCTACCAAACGTATGTGTATTTGTCTTGCCACATTCATTTACCGTAAGTTTCAACATTGTGACCTTGTTAAATACTCGGATTATTCTATTTGAGAAAGGCATAGTGTGGAATCCCGCGTTTCATGCATGAAGAAGGCATTATTTGTTGAACAGCATATGATATATCTGGGGCGGTAGTGAGTGTGGATACTGTTAAGCGCAGCAAGATGCAGGTATAATTGTTGTCTGGAAGGAGTCATCAGAAGATCTCAGTTTTCGATGACATAGATCGACTGGAGGTCTGGCACCACGTTTGCCAAAGAGGACCATATGAAAGGCTCTGAGAAGACTATCCTTTGGTGTTATGAGATGATCCAAATAACCACAGATGTCCGTGTCCACTTTTATTCCCAGGGAAATGAATTGCACCCGGCCCAAATCTGTACATTGCAAAACTCTTTCCGTCGAGAGCATAGCCGGCATAATTATTCTGCAAATACACTCATTAAAGAGGCAGTCAGCACTGATATTCATCAACAAACAGAAGCTAAATAGCAAGCATGAATTTCCTTGAGAAAAATGATTAGGAATTCGTCAACACACACTTAGTGCCTCGCGAACCCCATGAGACAGCAGATGGGTTGCACAATCTGGTGTGACCTGCCGGGAGCCCATGTTTGAGCCCATTTAAAGGGATTTTTTTCCAATCTGCACACAAATGGGTATTTTCTATCTGTGAAACCCGGGGGTTGATGCATAAAAACCAGTTTCATTTAAATGCACCCATCTGTAAAAACGCGTTTTGACATCCAACTGGAGCCTTTATTCGGCCAAGAAACCGGGAAAGTGCATATGGATAACACAGTTCGTATAGTAAGCGGGTTTCACTACGGACTAAATAGTATCGTCACAGTCAATGGCCCACCATTATGAGAATTTTGCCCTTTACCAGACCAAACGTGCTTTGATGGTACTTTCTGGGAGTGACCCGATCTGATTTTAATTTTGTCGAACAGCCACAGTAACACCGATGACTGGTGTTCGGTCAGACGATGGCGAGGCACGAGTTCCCATGTATCATTTTTCCTGCAAAGCCCGAAGACTCAGCCGCCTGCATAGCACTTTAACCGAATGACGGTCAGAAAAAGCTTTTGTCATAGAGAGCGTGAGTATTGGTGGAAATTGAGGTGGGCAAGGGCCATTGGCAGCTTGGAGGGTGGTCATGTGATGAGTAATTACTTGTCGGTTTTGATTACCAGCGGGTGGTCTAGTGTTGGCATTTTGTTGAGACAGTATCTGTGCAGCAGTGTGTGGCGGTCGTAGCGATTTGGCCACTGGGTTAAGGGGCTGTTGTTTTATGCGCGCGGGTGTTATTATTGGGTTGAGAATTGGGCGTTTTTGGTTTGGTGGTGTTTGTGTTGGGTAGGGTTGTTAACTTAAATCCTGGTGTGTTGTTCATCAAGAATGTGTATGTTTTTGGGTGGAGTTGGACTAGCTGTATGGGGAAGTTATGCTTCTTCAATGCGTTACATTGTCAGTGATATGTGGATCTCCCGGTTGTAGGGTCAAAGAGGCATCGGTATCCTAAACTCTGCGAGGGTAGTCCAAGAGATGCATTCTAACGGATCTTGGTTTAATTTGGTACGGGGTTGGGTTGCGGAGGCTATTGGGATACCAAGCACACCCGAACACACGATAACGTATCCGATATATCTCGGGTTGGCGAAGATATAAGGCAAAAGTAGCGGTTTGAAATAATTGAGACGTATTGGTTCGGAAGGATGTTTATGGAGATAACAGGCGCAGTGTGAAGTGCTTCGACCCAATAACATAGGTAGGTTAATTGAGCATGGATGAGGAAGTGATCGGATGATGTCGTTGCAGACGGACCGATCATGCGTTATACAGCTGCGGACCAGTTTGGGAAGATGTTTGGGGCATGAAAAGCGGAGGAACATAACAAACATGTTGTTGGGCAAAAAATTTTATCAGTTATGTTGTTCCACACTTTTCTCCCCCAGAGTCACATTGAAAATGTTTTGATATTGCGTTGAATTGGGTGGCTTAGTTCTATGGAATTTAGTAAGTGTGGTGAAGTTTCAGATTTTGACTGTGAGAGTGGTGATACCCACACATAATGAAAAAATTATCATTAAGCACCACATTGAGTATTCTATAATCACAGATTTGGTTTGAATAGGGGAGTCCACAAGTCACAGTGTATTATATCCAAATGGTGACAGAAAGTAAGGATTTGACTCATAAAAAACGGTAATCGTTTGTATTAGATACATGACAGAATGAAAAAATAAATGCTTGTTCTTATTTACAAAGGAAGACAACACATGGTTTTGTTTAAACATCTAAAACCTTGTGTGCCGGGCTGACCGAAGCGCGATCGTGCCAAGGTAAATCTGGGGCAATGTGATTGAAAACAAGCTTGTGGTGGTAGGGTTGGTGGTCGACAGGATAGAATCCTCCGTTACTATTATGGGGGAGGACGCCGTGTCCCGTTTTGGTCCTTCAAAGAAGGAACCCAAAGGGGTTCAAATTCAACAAGAAATATTGTTATCCGTGTAACGTGCGTGACATAATTGAAATTTTTAATGATTGTGGCTGTAAAGTATGTTTGGGAGGAATTTATGGGACGGCTTAAGGATGGGAAGGTAAACCTGTTCTCCTGAGCCCCTCGAATTGGTAAATGTGTCCCG